GTGCTTAAAAAGTGAATCAAATGTATCTTAACCAACTCCAGAGGGACGCCAACAACTACATGATGATAAAAGTAGCCTTACTGTCGGTGTGGATCCATACAAACTCCCAAACAAGTGGAGTAAACCATCAAATATGCTAAAATGATGTCATCTTTCATTCACAAACTTTTTTTTCTAGCTGCTGTGTGGCTTAAATGCCAGTTCTTTTAGTAACTCAGAATTTTCACTGACTCACAATCACTTAAAGCCCTTTTACAGTTGGTTATACAAACAGTTATTCCATTAAGCCACTGCAGATTCAACTCAGTCACTGACACATTTCACTCAGCACACTGCCAGATGTAACTGTGGATGTTATAATAAGAAAGTTTCTCATATTTATGACATACTATTTCAAATAATATCTCATAATAATGACTGTTTTATAACATATTATTATTGGGATAGTGAGTCATAAGTATGAGATAGCAAGTCATAAGTATGAGATACTAAGTCATACATATAACTATAGTTTCTCATAATTATGACACTATATCATACTTATGACTTAGTATCTTATAATTATGACTTAGTATCTCACATTTGTGACTTACTATCTCACTTATCTCATAATTATGAGATAGTAAGTCATCTTACAATTATCTCATAATTATGACTTACTATCTCATACATATGATTTAGTATCCATATGAGATACTAAGTCATAAGTATGAGATAGTGAATCATAATTATGAGATAATGAGTTATAATGATTAGATGCTAACTCATAATTATGAGATATTAAGCCGAAATTATGAAACAGGATTTCATTATGATGATAACAGGTCATAGTTATGGGGAACTTTTTCATTATTATGACTTACTGAATGGTGTTTTTTCTGTGGTGTAACCAGGGTTCTATATTTAACTCAATATTTTACTCAGTAACTTGAATATTCCACTGTAGGTAGCCTTTTAGCAAGCACTGCTTGCCTAGTTAGCGAACTATAGACACATTTATAGAACTATAGACACACAATTACTACACATTACAATATTAAACCCTAAAAAATCCATCTTACATCACACCTGGCTGAAGAGACATTTTTATAGAAACAGATAAAAGCCAACTGTCACCTCAGCTAACATTATTAGCCTAGTCATAGTATAACTCACTTCACTTCGTACCTTTTAGCTGGAAAACAAGGTGTTTTAAAGAGAAAACTTTAGGTTTGCTGATCGGTAGTGGTAGCATCAATATAGACCTCACCATGAAGCTGAGATTTGCTTCTTATTTATCCGCTTATTCAGATTTTCCATTCCACATTAAATGGTGGAGCAGTTCCATTCTGGCACCTATGAGGCATCTGTGAGATTCCGGAGCTGATTCCAAACATGATAAGTCCACTAAATGATGTTGCAAGTTTTATTCCAATAAATTTCTATTATTAGATCTATGAAATTGAGCTTGAGCTTAATGTTCATGTGCGCTCTCCTTCTTATATGCTATTTAACTACAGCTGCTTCTTTTTCTTTCTTCTTCTCTGCTTTCCTTGATTTTGCTCTGATCTGGTAGTCATGTAGATCCACATATTGGTCAGCCCTTAAAGTGTATTTAGTGAGTCCATGGGCTTCAGATCAGCTACAATCAAGGAAGTCAGGCAGGAAAGGAGGATTCATTGAACTGTTTTGAACCAGCCTGGACTGACTAATCCTGTCATAATGGCGGACCACCCACAAGACACTGCATCATGACATCACATTCCCAAGCCCTATACAGACCATGGAAGTGTCCGAAATAGGACACAGTATATTCACCTGAATATACTGCATACTGCATGCTTTTATAGTAGTATACATTGTAGCACCTAGTATACAACAGAAGCCATGCGCTGTACTAGAGGCAAGAGGTGTGACTTGACTTCCAACATCTGGGACTGAGCCAGTCAGACCATCTCAAGACCCGCTCTATTTTGCTCAGCCCTCCAACCACTACTTAGCAACCATTACTAGCCACTTTTCAGGTCTTTAGCAACAGGTGTGGATATATTTTAGTGAAGAGACGGGTGTTGTTTTGTTTTCTTTTATCTGTCTCCAAAGCCAGAAATAGCCTTAAAGAATACCAGCTTTGGATCCATCTGTGTGGTGTTTTGTTCATCAAGGTACAAACAATTTGAACGTTCCCTCAAAGGTACAACAGTGGTTTTAAGGTCCGATGAAACGGGGTGTGTGGAGTCAGTACAACTTAGAAAACATCATTTCAGTGGATTATGATACAATTATGTTCCCTGACTAAAGGTACTGAGATGTACCCTTGAGGGCACCACCACAGTGACAGGAGGGGTACTGCCAGTTTCATACCTTTATTTCTGAGAGTGTAAGAGGTCAGTCATTTCATTACATTCATAGTTGGTAACATGAGCCAGTTTGACTGAATAAAAAGCCTGAAAAAACGGTGCTGTTCGAATTGTTTCGATGAGACCAACTTTAGTAAGTTATTGCCTCAAACACATTGTCTATGCAGTAAGTTTACTTGTTAAACAGACAAAGTAAACAAACCCACTGCAAGACCAGCAGAGAAAGCTGATGTTTATCATGAAGATAGCTTTGGCTGCATATTGGAATATTTGGCCAGAGCATTTGTTGTACTGGGGAAATTTGTGCTGGTCACATACTGCATACTACTTTTAGGGCACAATCAGTAGGAGAACAGCATGTAACAGGCGATTTTGATATGTGGTCAACTTTTTAAGCTTATTTATGCAGAGAAACAGATACCATACCAAATCATGAGCATGTGCCAGCCTTTACACCAATGTTTAATGCAGAAACCTTTGCATAATTTGCTTTGTAAGTAGCTTTTGTTTTGTTTTGCTTCTCTTTTCCGATGATATGACAAAGAGGCCTTGGTAGTCAGTTCATTACACAGTGCAAACGAGGAACCTTCATAGGACGGTGCTGCCGAGGACCCACTTTCCTCAGCTGCAGTCCAGGTTTTGGAATGTAGCTTATTATTACTGACAGTTCTACGCTGGGTATAAAGCCAAAGGCCACATATTTTATCCCACTGTTGTTAAGTCAGCACTCCTCATACCAAGGAAGACAATTTGATGAACACGAAGCTGAGAGTTGAAGCTAAATATACTCAAAAGATGAGCACATAGCTGCTTTATCCTAACAGTCTGATTAGAAGTAGAGTTTAGGTTTTACTTTACTTACTTTACTTACTTTACTAACTGCACTTATAAGCCAGTCTGGATTTCTGCAGCCCACAAAAAAGCCTTTGGGTATTATAATGAAATGAACAGCCGAGCCCATTCCTGGAAAGACACAAGACAACACAAGATCCCCTTGTCCACATGTGCTCCACATCTGAGTCTGGACTGTAGGAATTCCAATAATAAAACGTCAGCAGCAATCCGTACCAGTTTCTCCACCTGACTGAGAAACGTAGACTACAAATAACTAAATATGTTAGCTAACAAATTCTATTACATCACATTTGCTACTGCAAGTAAAGACTTCATAAGACTACGTGTTCACTACATGTTTAGCCCCAAGTCCTGTATTCATAAACCCTCTCAAAAAAATGCACAGCTGACTGATCTATGATAAGATGTTCAATCTCATACTGAGAAAAATGAACTAAACCAACAGTTAGGAACAAATCTCACATCATTAATCCGACTCTGAGACACTTTGTACATATCTGGTGAGTTTTCCCGACACAGATTTAGTCCCAGACTAAAGGTTTCTCGATAGAAAATCCCCACTGACCTTGTAATTGAATCCAAAACTAGTAAGAAGGCTTAATCTATGTCTGGAAAACTGACCTAAGAATACTGAGCTGAATTAAGGCTTTAAACCAAGACAGCCGCTTAACGTTTAGTGGAAAGTATTGGCCTAAGCCTCACTACATCACTGCATCACACTACAGATGGCAGTGAATGAGCCCTTTGATCAAGCTACACCTTCTCCAGGAAAACGTGTGTTTATCTCTTCTCAGTTTTCTCATTCGACTGTATCGCTATTCACTGATAAGGAATGCAGTGAGGAATGCAGACCTTCAGAAAAGTGAACAGACCACCATCATCCATGCTCACGAGTAAGTGGTGAGAGGTATTCTGTAGTAGAAGTGAATACTGATAGGAGGCTGTCCTGTGAGGTGGAGTTTACAATATTGTGGACGCTCAAAAACAGAAACAGAATTGAGAAACTCAAAAACAGAAAATGACAAACTCCAAAACAAAAAAACTAAACATGAGACTAAAAATGAACTTGAACTGCTAAAATAATACTTATAAACTTAAAAACGTAACACAGTTTAAACCCTCACACAACTATGTACAGTTCTGATGCAGACTTTTCGCACTCTTGTTGATTATTGACAAATAATAATAATAATAATAATAATAATAATAATAATAATGATATTGTTGCTACTACTACTACTACTACTAATAATAATAATATAGTTATTATTATTATTATTATTATTATTATTATTATTATTATTATACTGTTACTACTATTAACACAAATAAACCAGTATTATGATTATTATTCCTCCTACTCCTACTACAAATAATAATAATAATATCAATAATAATAATATAATATTGTTGTTACTACTATTACCACTAATAAAACAGTATTATGATTTATTATTATTCCTCCTCCTACTACTATTATTATTATTATTATATTATTATTATTATTATTATTATTATACTGTTACTACTATTGCCACTTAATAATAATATATTTACTACTACTACCACTTACTATATATTAAAATACTACTTCTACTACTACTTCTACTACTACTATTAATAAAAATAAGAATAGTTATTACTTTTTTGTGTGTAGGGGTTTATTTCATGATATCATATTGTTATTGTATGGACAGTGTAAAATATCGTGATAAAGTATCGAGTTCATATCGTCCACCCTCCCAGGAGCCACTCAGATCAGCATGGAAAACCAGCAGTGCAGAAAGTGGACTTTTCACTCTGACTTACTCAAAGGCGAAGAAAAGTCCGCTGGTGACCAGGATGAGCACCATGGTGAGGTAAAACACCCCGGTCTGCTTTGCCATCATGATCCGTCCATCGCAGTAGAACTTGTTCCGGCCGGGGAAGATCTGCCACTTCCTCTTCACTTTCCTCTTCTTGCTGTGCGGCGTCTCGGCGGGCGAGGACGAGTTATGCGTGCAGATCTGATTGTACTGACACTCCCTGGGCTCGTCCATCCCCAGATGCATGTTGCTGGTGGTGTTTATCTCTCAGCAGTGGCCTACAGAAGAGTGAGAAGGTGCGAGAGAGTCCCACAGAACGCAGAGGTGTGAGAGGGGAGAGGAACAGAGCATCACTTCAGACGGAGAGGAGACAGAGGATGCAGCACTGTGTCCTCCTAAAATGCAGCAGCAGCTTATTGGACTCAGTGGCTCACACAGCCAGGCATCCAACACGAGGCATGGATGGTCATGGAAGGAAATCCGGAGACAGAGCAGAGCTGAGGTCCCGTGCATTAAGGTAACATTCCTCCATCGTCTTTAACTCCACATGCGATCAGAACAGCTGGAGGAGGATCTGGCGGCCAGGAGGAATGAAGCTGGCTGTGATTAGCCTCCTCTCTTTCCCTCGCTGGTGTAGAAATGTCCCCGCCTGTCCATCCACGCTCTCCAGCTCTTATTTCCAGCAGCAGCAGCAGGAGGAGGAGGAGGAGGAGGAAGCCTGTCCTTCCAGTGTCCTCGCTCAGCCGTTGCCTGCTTTATTCTCGCTTTAAGCCTGAATTTTGCTCATTTATTTGTGAATATAAGCGCCGATTTGCTGCTCAGAGAAGAAAGAAAGCAGGAGAACCGCTCAGATCTGCACCTTCTACAGCAGTGAGTGGGCTTGGTAACCTCCCCCCGCCACACGTCAGCCCAGAGCCTGGTCTGCTCCCCAAACACAACCGCCCTCTCAGTTTTATTTATTTATTTATTTATTTATTTATTTATTTATTTATTTATTTGCGAGTGATATTTTTCATACATACTTCTTTTTCCTTACATGATGTGAAGCTCTGTGTAAGTGGAAGCTTAATTTATTATTATTGTTATTATTATTATTATTATTATTATTATTATTATTATTATTATTATTATTATTATTATTATTGTTATTATTATTATTATTTCACTGTATTTTATCCTACACATTTTAAAAGTTATGGAGTATGTTTTATTAATTAATTTATTCTTTTTCTTTACTCGTTTTTTTTATTTGTTTGTTTGTTTTTTTTTAATGCCGTTGCGTAAAGCATTAGCCCAAATTATTAAAATGCATGACGAGGATTTTGTCAAAAATAAATAAATAAATAAAAATCTCCTGTCAGAGTAGCCTGAACATCATCGCTCAGCCACTCTTATTTTATTTTACAAAATAAAAGCTTCAGACTGAGATTTTTTTAGACAGATTTTTGAACTTAAGCTTTACATTACTGCATTTCAAAACATTCAGTTTTCTGTCTTACACATAAAATGTGCAAGATATAATACTGTAAAATAATAATGATAAAATAAAACAAAAATCAAGCTGCCTCTTACACTCTGCATACTCTACACAGCTAGGAAGAAAAAATAGTGACGTATGAAAAATATACCCCCAAAAGTTGAGATTTATATCACGCAGTATTGTTATAAAGTTATATACATTCTCATAAATATTCTTCCTCACTACTAAAAATATATACTGTTTTGATTTTTAACACTAAAGTGTATTACTTAGTAGACAAAACGTTCCTATGTTTGTTTCCGCCCGAGCGTTTATGGGGGAGGACGCGGTGGAGATGGCAGAGGGGGAGAATGTCAGTGAGGACGGAGAGAAACTGCAGCTGATAAAAGGTGAATAAAATATACAAATATTAATTAATTTCTTATTTTACAGGAGCTAGGGTAATTGACTCTAGTGTCGCTCTGTAGTTCGCCCGGTGTTTGTGCTGTTCTCTGTGTTAGAAGGTCTAATACGAGGCTGAAGTTCTCTTGTACTAAAGTACCGCTCCACCTTAAATGTTGCAGCAGTTACATTTGGCGAGTGAGGCTTCAGAGTGTAAGTGCTGCTCCATTTAAGGTGGAGCGGGAAATTCGATTAAGGTAACTACTAATCCCCAATACAAGACAAACACAAGTAAAATAATATATTAGAATAAACACTAAATTGAATAGCATGAAAGCTTAAAATACTGTATATAAAGCTATGCGTGTATACAACCATAGATCCGTAGCTCTGCTAAGGTGCACAAAAACACGGTGATGGTGTTACACATAACAGTAATCCACAGATGAGGTACTGCACAATTGCAGTATTTCTCCATAGTAAAAATTAGTATCAGTACTGCTGTAAAATACAGTATTGTGCAAAAGAGCATGACCAGTGCAGTGCAGACGACACATAGATGTACCGTGATGCGTGAGAACTAGATGAATAAGGAGCCAACTTCAGCCTCGTGTGGACCACTGTGTGAGTAATAAGCACAATAAAATCTGACATTTCCATTTCCTTTTGGTTCAGCTGAAAAAAAATGTTTAATTCATTCTAATTTACACCACGTTTCATTTTTTGATTTTCAGTCAAAACATCCATCAGCATCAGAGAGAAAACATACAGGCAACACATATATTTAACAGAGGTTTTCGCAGAAATCTCAACTAAATATAATATTAGATTTTTTCAGTATTTAGTGTTTCCACTCTTTACCATTATTACAGCTTCCATTCTTTACAGGAGACTCACTTTCAGAAAAGAAAAAAAAACTGCAGGTATATTTTTCGACACATCCAAAGTTCAGTTTTAAAAGTTTTACTTCATTTTCTTCTTTTCATGATCCAAATAACCAAAACACATTCAGTGATGTTGAGGTCTGGACTCCTTGTGCAGGTGGATTGTCTTATATCTAATCTCCTCTGATATATCTTCTGAAAAGTTAAGGATTTGTACTTTATGGCTGTTTTGAATGAAAGTTAAATCAGTAAATGGCGGTTTCTGACTTTTATGCAGTACTGGATATGTTGGTTATGGTGAGACAAAATAGTACACCCCACCTACCCCTCAACCCCCCCGCCCCAATAAATAAATAAATAAATACATACATAGATAAATAAATAAATAAAGGTAGGTGGGTAGGTAGGTAGGTATCCTGAGCTAGACGTTATCATTGAAAGACAAACTGAACACTGACCTGCTGGTATAATGTGGCCGAAGTAATTGGAATGAAAAGACTGGAAGTCTGCTATATAACCACAGTATCCTGTGTAGCCACTACAATTTTAGAAACCGAAAATAATTGCAGTAGCCATGTCCACTTATGATCTTTGTATTCCTTCTCTTTCAGGTGGTGCCTTCCTTACAACAGTAGCCACTGCAGGAGTAATATTTGGATTCGGGTCAACGCTGGCCTTGGCTAAGAAGAAAAGCCCTGAATGGTTTAATAAGGTATGTGGAGTTTTATGTAAATGTATGACCATGTAGGGGAGAGCGGGGCACAAACTAACACAGGGGCAAATGTCACATGGATATTTTATATAGTTACACAGGTTTAAGTAGAACATGCTTTTATCTCGTATTATCACAGCAGCGTCATCTGTGAATTTTGACAGCAGTCTGATGGATATTTCTCAAGATTCACCCTGAAGGCTTCCAGGTTTTTGTACCACAAAAGTCTTTCTTCGTAAATGTTTTTCAATCAATGATACAGGGAGATTCACTCGAAAGAGGCCCCGAATATTCTATTGTAACTCCCGTCAGGATGACACAATCTGAACCAAAAAAAATCCCTACATACCTTGACGTATGTGTAATCGATGTCATTACATGCGAGGCTGGAAGTGATCTCTGCTTTCTGCCAGACACCCGGAAGATGCAAACGGAGGTTAAACGTCGCAACGGCTGTCCGGCGCCTACCTCATCGCTCTGATGCAGGGGCGCCCCGACTTTTTCGAAGCTCCATATACTGAGATGCACATACAGTCAGTAGCCCCTCAGTCTGTTACAGTTAACCCTCATATGGTGTTAGTTGTAACCATTAGCACTCACTCTGCTTTTGACTAAATTGCTCATAAAAAGTAGGTGCTGAAAACATTTTTTTTTTGTTTGTAGCAGAGATGTGTAGGTTGGAAAAAAAGTATTACTCTTGCTCAAACAAAATTATTGAGCAAACACCAAAATGTGTTAGTTTGTGTCCTGCTGTCCCTATAGTTGAATGTCTTCAATGTCTTCTAGTTGAATCACTAGGGATTCATTGATTATACATTTTTATGACTGATTCCAGTTTAGCTTACCACTATAAATGTATTACTGCTTCATCAGTTCAGTCAGTCAAACTGGATTGTAATCGATATTAAACACATTATAAAATGTCATTGAAAAAGAATAAATAAAACAAAACGTATCAGAGCATCACATTATTCACATACTGAAAATGACATGGACTGTAGCCTGGCCCGTCTTAGAAGTATGGCTCTCTTTAAAAGTACAAATATCTAATTATAAACAGAATCAGAAGTCTAATCCCAAAACATTAAGCTAGTAGAGCTTTAATCGGCTTTAAAATTTAAAATTCTCTGAACCTAAGAATATTGTGTCCAAGGCTGATCTGCAGCCTTGGACACAACATACAGCATTGCGTCTTGAGTCTAAACCCAGCAACAACATTCTGCACTACACTGACCCAAACCGGCCCGTCATCAACCAAATTGTCAAATAAAACCTGACAGGACAGCGCCTGTTACCGCATAGAGAAAATAATGGGTGTCAATAAAGCGCAGATAAAACACTATAAAATAACGTGCTGTAAAAAAATGAATCAGCTGTTATCTGTGTGAGGTGTTATTCTTCACCTGTTTAATCCTAAAACTCTGTTCCTTTACATAGAACAGGACTGCCCAATCTTGGTCCTGGAGATCTGCCACCCTGCAGAGTTTAGCTCCAACCCTAATCTAACACACCTGATCCAGGTACTGAAGGCCTTCAGGGGTGTCTGAACATTACAGCCAGGTGTGTTGGATCTGAACTCTCCAAGGTGATAGATCTATGTTAGATGTTATGTTATGTACATTATGGGTACTACAAGGGAAATTCGTCATTTTGCAGCACAGGGTCGCCAGCAGAACAGCGCCGCCTGGTGCAGTTGGGGGTTTAAAAGTAACTAAACCCTAATATATTTTTAAATTAACAGCTGAAATGCACTCCTCTGTAATAATAAAATATGCCAGCCTTGCTTAAAATGTGAACCCATCTTTCCAAACTGTAAAAATATCATTTTTATTGTGGTCAGTTCCACCTCTGCAGCGCCCCTCTGGTTTAGCTCTGCTATAGGTGCGGATAGTGTGTCTTTATACCAAAGTACCATGACATGTCACAGTATGTAAATCAGTCAAGCAACGTTACCGCCCCCTGATGACGCCCTACTAGTGCTGCACTCATAAATATGAAAGCACAGGAGCCCAGAGTGAGGAGATAACCATACTCACATGCTAAGCTAAATACCCCGCCCCCAGCGCCACCTCACAAGGCTGCGATATGCCAGCTGTCTGTACCGACTGTAAATAACCCAGTTAATCTAAGCTGAGTTTGTAACAAAGATGTTGGACTGATTAAGTGAGGATTCTTGCGAGTCTATAAAGTTGCCGGTGTTGCACCTGATTCACGTTTCCCTCCACAACTCAAACCCTCATGTGCCGCACTCACTGAACAGAAGTCAACGGCAAGCAACACTGGAACTACGGAAAGCAAACAGTTCAGGAAAGGTTAACGTTAAATGGGCCATTGTTACAGATAGTGTCAACCTCTCGTTTGTACAGCCTTTCTCTGACTTTTTTTCCCCACTTTCCGTAGTTCAAGTGTTGCTTGCCATTGATTTCTGTTCGGTGAGTGCGCGCGCCTGAGGGTTTGACATTTAGGGAATGTTTAACCATTCGGACGCCTCTGCCGCTCGCTGCTAATCATTTTCCGCCACTGCGTTAACTCTTCAGCGGCTTGAATCAGTGGCTTGCGCTGTTAAGGCTCAAGACGCACTGCCTGATCAGAAACACCTTCCCTCGTCGAAGATGGGGATGGTAGTACAGAAAAATCGTCAGCCTCGTAAGGCCTTTCAGTTGCAGAAGTGCTGTTTGATTCTGTCACTCTCTATATTTTCTGGTAGATAACGTACGTTTCTGTTCAGCTTTAAAAACACAGCAGCCCAGCCCACCCGGTTTCCCTCACAGCCTCACCTCCAAACCCAAACATCATTGCAGTGCCCCTCCAATTTTTGAGCATCATTCAAAGTTGAGCCAGGGGTGGAGTTAGCTGAAAATAGCAGGGTATAGTTATTCTTTAAGTGCTTTGCCCTGCCAGGTATACCTAGTCCAGTCGTGGTTTGAACCCGCAACGTTCCAGCTGATGGCTCATCTCTCCTGTCACTAGGCTACCGGCCACCCAGTATCTCTAGGACCAGGATTGAGCACCCCTCACACAGAACATTACATACAACATATTGAACATATGACATAAAAAATATTTTTGGCAGAACAAATTAAACGTCCTTTTGGCTGCACTAAATTAGACTTGTATCAACAAGAGTGACTGATTTATAGTAATAAAAGTAGATCAGAAGAATAAGGTAAGCAGTAAAACTAAAGCAGGAGTGAAAGCAGGTAAAATCTGTTTAAAATGCGAGGCTGGCTGCGAAACCCGATTGTGAATGTGATTCGAGCGCAGTACATATTCCAGAGAACTGCTGGACTGGTTTGGACAAATATTTCAAGCTTTAACATCTAGTACGAAACACGATAGGCTATTAAACGTGATGCAGAAGACATCTACAGTGTCACAGCTACAGTTAAATTTCTGAATCTGATAACAAATTTAAAATGGAGTTAAGATTATTTTTGGATATTAGGAGTCCATTAATACAAGCAGTAGAAAAAACCAATAGAGAAACTTCAGGCTGGGTTGAAATCTTTACTTGTGGCTAAAAAAGCATCTGTGGCTCTCTCAGAAAGCTATTTCGTGCTCCACCCAGTATTAAACTCTTATTCAATTATGCTATGGCTGTGTTGTTTACCTGACGGGATGAAATTAGAAATTGAGCAAATCCTCACATAGAACTGGGAGTTATATTTGTTTTTAGGCCTGGAGGGGAACAGTACCCTCTTTGTTAACTTTACTTTTTTTTTCTCTTTTCTTCTGTCTATTTTTAACCATAGTCACATCTCTATAAACATGCATCTTAGCCAAATGTGCCTTTTAGAGAGGCCAAATTAGATTAATTGTGGAGAGGAATGCAGTCGTGAGGTCACAGCGATGGGACGGCAGACGCATCTAAACTAACTCTAAACTAGATTAGGAGCTTGGGCTGGACAGACCTGCCTTTCTGACTGTCTGGTGACAGGGCATTGCTTTATGTGGAATACTGTCTTATTTATTTTAAATAAAATAAATTTCTCCTTGAAAATTATGATTATCGTGCAACATTGACAGCAGATTGCTTTTAAGAAACCTTTTAGTAAACTTTAATATCTCAGTTTATGGGACAGAGGTTACACCTCAATTCTACACAGTTCCACACCAGTCATATCACCAAACACACTAGCTGCATTTACATCTAACATCAGCTCAGCGGCTCAGCAACTGAGCCCACGTCTCAATGAACGTGTAGCAAAGAAAGGAAGCCAGGTGTCTAATTCAAGCAAATAGAGGTTTAAAAGACTGAGCTCCTGGAGACATTTACATTTTGAATATTTCAAGTATTCATGTAATATTTCAAGGCCTACTACAAGTGCCTGAATTATACTGTTGAAGTTTTGCGTATTTTGAATAAACAGTGGCCAGTTTGGGTTACAGCACAACATTAATTCAAAATCATAAAAAATAGCTGTTTTTTTGGCCCACGGATTTGTTGAGATTTTTTAATATGGCCCTTTTAGAGAGTTTGACACCCCTGTTATGAAATGTTCTACCACACGTCGCATGTACTTACACATTTCCCCTAAACTTACACATTGCAGCTTTAAGTAGTAGTGGCCAGTATAGCAGACATTTACACGATACACAATATTTCTTTTTTCTGAAATTTGATAAACTGGAACCAACACAGTGCACCAGTGGCCTGTCTCCTGAACATGTTCAGCTTAGACAGAGTTCCTGACAAAATGTCAACATTAGAAAAGCTAGAAAATGCAACTGTGTTTAACCCTGGTTTAGATACAGAGGCTTTGGTTAATTCTTGTGTGTGTGAACATGAAAGCATGACATGACAAACAGCCAATTGCATGAAACCTGAGAAGTCGAGCAGCTTATTTTTTAGAGACCAAAAACTAAATACGTAGAAATTAAAGGCTTTGTTCACCTCTGTTTTGAAGATAACATGTAACAAGGGCTTAACTTCATCACTTAATGTAATCAGAAAAGAACGTGTGACAGTTAAAGCTGTGTTCTTGTATTTGTGTTTAGGGTCTTGTGGGGTCAGCAGCGGTGCCCGAGAGTGGAGCATCACTAGCCCTGCGTGCCCTGGGATGGGGTTCTCTATATGCCTGGTGTGGAGTCGGCCTCCTCAGTTTTGCTGTCTGGAAGGCTTTGGGGGTCCACAGTGTATGTACCTGCTTCAGCTCCAGTACTAACAGTACAGCACAACTGATATTCACATTGTGAATAGTGAACAGTGTTCCCACAAACTGTAATCGGATTACTTATTACTTGCTGGACAACAACGCTAGATAAACAACTCTGTACCAGTTAAACCTTATAGGCTTTTCAATACTTTGTTTAGGAAAAAAGTTTGGAAGTACAGAAGTTTGGAATTACATTCAATAATATATATAAACGTTCAATAATAAATAAACGTTTTTGGATGAGGTCCAGTGAAAATAAAGTTGTAATAAAATTAATATCCAGCATGCCTCATATTGGAAAAGGGGTATATACATAAACAAAAAATAATACATTGTAGTTATTATTTAATCGTTTAACCTCATTATCCCAAACTAATTATTCCTAAGTATTAAATACTTATGTACCTATATTTACTTACCTCTATACTATGAAATATCTGAATACTATAAATTAGACATTAGAAGGTATTGTGTGTGTGTATGTATGTATGTACGTATATATGTGTGTGTGTGTGTGTATGAAAATGGAATTACAGTAGTTTGTACCTTGCTATGCTCAACACTGACGTTGAATATTATCATTCTCTCTTACAGTTGGTGGAATTTCGACAGAAAATGCAGTCTATTTTCCCAGCCATCCCGAAAACTGAAGAGGCACAACAAAATACGACACCTTTTGATTGGGACTCTATATTCAAGTCAAAATAATGAGTTAATACTGGTAGCCTTAAAAGAATTTACAGACTGCACACTGGACGATCAGCCTGCTTTGTATTGAGCTCTGGGTGAGAACGAATGAACCTTCTTTCCAGTGCTTGATCTGAGAGACTGCTTTGGTGGTGATTTATTCTCATCTATGATGTTTAACTCTCATAAGCTGGTCTCAGCGCAGACCGTGAAACTAGGAGTGGGCAACTGGACACTGTTATTGTATTAAATAGCCTCACAATACAGGCATAAAGTCAGTACCTGTAGAAGAAGTACATCGTAAAAAAGACATCCAGTGTGTAGTACCGGCAAAAACTGCATAGTAACAGGTAGCTGATTAAATGTCAGCATTTTATGCTATAACATTATTTCACTAATTTATTTTGATTTTTCTTTTTGTTCCTTCTTGAAGCCACTGTACTAAATGTTTCGGTCTGTTTTGTTTTAAATGTTTGCTGGTGTATTTTGTCTGTCCTACACCTTAATATCATGATAAGTTTTCTGAAAATGTCATTGAGTTGATGTATTCTTGCCAAGTCACTCACTGTTGTAAGCTTTCCATTCAAAACTAAAGAACAAAGTTTGTTTGAATGCCAGCACTTGTAGGCTTTACAATACTGCAGCTAAAGGACTTGTCAGCTGTGTGGATATTTTGCTAAACTGCTTTAGCATGAACATGGCTTCAGCAGATGTAAGACAAGCATTAATATAAAATGACTCGGTGCAGTGGGGCCAGTTCTGATTCTGGAGATCTGCCACACTGCAGAGCTCAGCTCCACTCCCAATCTAACACACCTGATCCAGGTAATAAAGGCCTTCAGGGGAATCAGATCCATGTGTGTTGGATCTGAGCCTTCTAGGGTGGGACACTCTTAAAAAGATGGTTCTTTAGAGAAGGGAATCGTTCTGTTTAGAATATATAGAACTATTTCATGCTTTAATGGTTCTACAGACTGGTGCAGAATGTGTTTTATAGAGTTATATACAGAACTTTTTGAAAATGTTTCTATGTACCACCAAAAAAGGTTTTGCTATTGTTAGAAGCTTTGGTGCTAAATTGAACCATATACAGCACATTCTCCGTCAACCTGAAGAACGCTTTAGGCATGAAATAGTTCTGTATAGAACTCATGGTTTTAAATAGAACTATTCCCTTTACTAAGGAACCCTTGGAGAACCATTTTGTTTTTAATAGTGTGGATCTCCAGGACCAGGACAAAGCACCCCTGGCTTAGTAAGTCTGGTCCAGTTCTGATAAAGTGAGAGAAATCTGTGAGTGGAAAAAAGCATGAATTGAAAGAACTATTGCTGGTATATCTATAGATATTGTCGCTGTCTAAAAATCTCCATTTTTTTATTTTCATTTGAATATGGCAGCTGTTCTTTACTTTGTATGAAATATTAATGTCGAATGGACCAATAGAAATACTGCAAGAAAAAATTGTACATTCGCTTGCATCAAAAGTTATTTGGCCTTCTGCAAAGTTATAATTTTGAAGAAACTGTTTTTGACAGCAACGATATATCAGTACATTTGACATTTGGTTGGATTTGTTATTTTTATGGAGTATTAACTCATAATACGTCCAGCTCTCCACAGAAAAGGAACATTTTGCCAGAAGCCAGCAAGCAAAAAAAAAGAAGACCGAATATTATCCAGATTGTACAGAAACACTGCGTCAGCGCGAGCACACTTGTGACTGCTGCTGATGTTTTCCACACATTTAGTTTGTGACATCATTAAAGGGAAGTCATCCAGTGCTGATGCTACAGCAGCTGTGTGGAGGAGTGCAGGGGCAGGATGAGCTGATGAGCTGAGTAACTGAACCTGCTGCAGTGTACTTAGCAATTGTTATTTAGGGATCTGAAGCCTTCTATTGATATTCTACGCATTTATTCACGGTTGAGAGTTGGACGAGTAGCCATCAGTCATTCTCAGAGTCCTGTGGATCCAGTGCACTTTTCTTCCTCTAGCAACGTCTGATTCAGTTCATCAGCTGATTGTCAAGACCTTTAAGAGCTGAGTCAGATCTGTAAGGAACAGTCTGACCAAAATGAAAAATGATCAGTTCTGTAGTAACTAAGTCATCATCACGTTGGAGAGATCTTGGACAGCAACTATATTTAACTCTAGTTTTAGGACAGAATGCCCTTTAAGAAATGGCAGCTTTATGCCAGAGTTTCTTAACCACTGGGTTGCAGACCACAAGTGGGCTGCAAAGCACCCTCTGGTGGTCCTGAGGACAGTACCAGTAATGAGCTTGTGATGGCACTCAGTCATCAACATTTGTGAAAAAATTTAAAAGAGATAATAATAAGAAAGAAATGTAAAATGTTTTCAAACAGTAAACAATATTGATATAAGCCCTGCAACAACAGCAAACAGAGCAGCTTCAACTATTTTCTGCCTCTGGAAACAAAATACTCTGTTTCAATCGTGCCCTTGTGAATAAAACACTTTGCTCAATTGTTCTGCCAGATTTCAAGAGTAGAACAACTTGTTATCCTAATCTGTTGATATTTTATGTTCAGTAATACACATTGCATATTGTGGCACCCAAACATGGCTGTTGAAAATATCCCAAAAATTCATTTTTTAAGCATTTTTGTTCTCCTGTGGGCCTTCATGCTTTCTAGTGATAAACAGTTGGATGAGAGGGTGAAAAAGGTTGAGAACGTCTGTGCTAACTTGGCATCAACATGACCTCATTAAACAGGTGCTTCTGGAAGTCGTGTAGATTTCCACAATTACATCAAATTAAAAGATAAAACACTCAAAAACAACCTTCACAGTGCTCAACCAGATTTCATGTACATTTACTTTTTAAACATGTGGAACATGTAGTATAAAGACTTTATACTAATAAACAATGGTCATCAAATCATATGGCATGAAAAAAGTTCACAGAGTTGTACATTGTCATTGGAATTGCTGCTTAAGTCATATTGGGATAACTTCAAATTTTGCTGGATTACAGTTACACCAACTGACTTTTTGATGAGCCTGTTTTTTTTTTCTTTTTCTTTCATTTTCTTGTTTTTTTTTTTAAGCCAGACATCTAAGGCCATTCGAGGGAGTCGTTCCTATCTCTGTTTCACAGAACTGTGTGCACAGTTACACAGTCCACACTGGAACCTCTCACACATCATTATGTTACCCTCAACAGAAGATGGTAAGGTTTTCATTTCCAAATTGCTGTAAATAATTAGCATTGACTACCATCACTCTGTATAATACAACATCTCTTGGGAAAAAAAAGAAAATGAAACGGGCCAGTTTACTGTACAGCTCATATATACAAATCGGCCCATGAGTCAAATGGAGAGGAGTGGTAACCGAAGCACTTCAGAATTCAACTTTCAGAGAGTTGATCATGTGATCTAATGGTCATTCTGGTGGAAGAAAGTCAGTTTAAAACCAGCTCTCACTTTACCCTCAGATACTGGTGTGGTTATGCAGTGCAATACTGGTTGTCAGATTTGAATATTGCCTGTGGTAAAGAGTCATTCACATTTGGTAAGCTCCCCTCCAACAAGCCAACTAAATCCTATTGCACAAAGCTTTTTAGAGCTGGATACATGTATATCGAGTAAAATCAGTGTTCGTTTTTATCTTTATCTTAGCACATTGCAAGAGAAGTTCTATCTACAACACATCTCACAATTTAAATAAATCTGCATCCCCAAATAAACGAATCCCACCAAAAAAAATAAAAATAAAAAAACAGCCACAAACAATGAAAAAAAAAAAACATTTTGAGAGCAAACTCTGAAAACTAACATACAGTATCTATCAAATGGCAACTTTGGTTAAAACAAAAATGAGGGAGGGGGGACAAAACATAAAAAAGAATAGAAAAAAACAAAATGAAGTATTAAATATCTGTATTAAAATCATTTAAAAATCCAAAATGAAAATTGCAAAAAATGGGGTAGAGGAGCTATATATATATACTCTATATATTCATTTGTATGTAAAAACATTTTTATGTCTTTTTTTTATTTAAATAAAAATATAACACCAACAATTCTGTATGATCTCGATCTGTGTGGCCCACTGTCTCGCTGATGGCACTTCAGGCTGCTGCTCATGTCACGAGCGTCCAAGCTTAAACAGTACCTCGCACATAACGGCCACTACACTGGAGTTCAGCACAGACGACAGCGTGATGTCCAGCAGCCGGCTCTCGTACAGCACAAACTCAGGCAGGTTCTCTTCCACCTGAGCCATTGCCAGCAAGGCTTTAGCAGCCCGGCACATCATGTTGATGCTAGGGGGCTCTGGGTGCGTCGGGTGTCCTGCGTGTAAGAGGCTGTGAGGGCTCTGCTGATACTGTGCCATGGCAATACTGTCCTCTAAAAAGCCTATCAGGGTCCCAATGCTGCCCTTTTGAAGGGCAATGGCACGGGCTGCTGTGGGGTCACCCCGCGCCAGGTTGGAGAGGATGGCCACGGCCATCTCGCGGCACACCTGACTTTTGCGTTCGCCCACGTGGCGCACTAACGTTGCGTAGAGGCGCTCTTGGCGGCTGAATGGCGGCGTGGCCAATAGCAGGTCCACGTTACAGTCCTGGATACTCAGCTTGCACAAGCACTCCAGCACCAGCCTCTGAGGTGTAAGAGAGGAGAAACCACCTGCTGTGCAAAAAGGGTCCTGGGCCTCAGCTGACGGGCACACCATCCAGTGCAGAAGCCCGTCTAGGATGGGTAAGCAGATGCTCTCGGGATAGATTGATAGATCTAGCTGCCCTGAAATGTTAGCCAAGGTGACCAAGGTGTTCTCATGCAAGGCACCGAGACAGTCCCACCACCACTCATCCTTGCTACAGGCCAAACCTCGCTCCTCTTCACGCTGGTAGGTTGGGGACGTCCTTTTCCGCTTTGGGTGCTCATGGTGCAACAGCACCAGCTTGCCCAGTACAAGCACCAGGCCTGGGTGCCTGGCCATGTCAGCATCGTTACCTGGGACAAAGGAGAGGCCTCGGACTATGTTAGAGACACATATGCAGCGCTTGGCCAGCTCATCCTGCCATTCCTCAGCTGTGGAGAGGGGTGCCTCATCCCAGCAGCGCGGCTCGTCTTCCAGCAGGGTGATGCTGTGGTTCTCCCGGCTGCGTAAAGGTGAGACTTGGGCCTTGTTCTCTGGCTGAGACCTGGGATGGGAATGTAAAACATCATCCACAGTGACTGCCAAACTCTTGTCTGTGGAACCTTTGTCTTCTCTCTGAGTTCCCTCTTCTTCATTACAGGGATCCTGACTGTCCTGTTCTTTTCTCTTTTCCTCCTCAAACTCCTTGGCTGGTGAGGGTTTAGCTCCTGCCTCCTGACACTTCCTGTCAAAGTGGGTCTGAATGTGTGCAGTAGAGTCACCTCCGCCAGCCTTCCAGTGCAGCAAGCCACTGTTAAACTCTCCAACGAGGCCCAGCTGCTCTGATCGGTCTTCTACCAGGTCATCAATTGCTTCCCTTTCCTCCACCTTTACTGGCAGTCTGTCATACTTGCTGGCTTGCTTGGGCCTGGGTTCTGAGGGTGGACGCTCCTCTTTACCCATTTCCCTGTCTTTTTTCTCATCATGATCAGTAACCTCTGCTGGATTCTTCTCTGTCGAATCTGCTCCAGGTGTGCTGCTGGGGTTATGCGTTTGAGGCTCTGCTTCCAGCTTCTTGTCCAGTTGCTCAGTATCTGAATGAGTATCCAGCTCTTGGGGCTCAGATTCCTCCTTCTCTGCTGGCTCTGGAAGGGGGCCAAGAAGTGTTTTCTGTCCCTCAGTACCTACTTCATACTCCTCCAGGATGCCAAAGATCTCAATCAAGCATCGCCTGAAGTACTCCACTACAAGTTCCAAGAATCCTGGCAACTACATAAACAGAGAACAATAATGTCATTAATGTCTGAACAGCCAATCAGTTTTGGAGTAACTCTCTTACTCAAGTGCACCTAGGTTAAAAATGTACCTGGGACAGGGTAAAGGAAGACACTGTGCTATCATCATACAGAAGGATGTTTATGGTGTCCAAGGCCCAAGTACTTTCTGCTAGCAAACCAGACTTCAGAGACATCATCACACGCCAGGCCTCTGGTGTGCCTGCAAAGGAACAACGTTTCTGAACCAACAGTTCCAAACCAAAAGTTCTGAACCAACTTCACTCCCAAACTGACTAATTAAAAAAAATGAGGCAATGGAAGCCGATGGTTATGAATAAAAACTTTGATCCCAGTTTATGGCAAGTGGCTACTACTAGGTTCATGAAGAAGACCGTTATTCCCTAGTTCCTCCAGGAAATTCGGAGTTGGTCTGCCAATTTGAATAAGGAGATGACTTAACATTAAAGGTAAAACATCTCCTTTAGGGCAATTTTCAGGCAATTCCTAGTAATAAAACCAAAAAACTGCTATTTCCAAAATTCTGGTTTATTGCAATCTTTTGTTGTTTTGTTTAATGTTAACAATGAAAATGTGTGAGACTGTGGGACTCTTACCGATGTCTTTAGAAGTTAACCTTCGACGAGGTTTTAGCTGAGGTTGTGTAGCTTCAACAGAACCCAGTGGAAAGCTGATCTCTCGTTGGATGGGTGGGAGGCCTTGGCCTGGGACAACACCACTTTGGGAGCCTGGCATGGACGCAGGCACCCCTGGCTTGGGCATTTTCATAGAGGGCATCAAATGAGCTTTATTGGGTGACATGGAACCACTCAGGGGTCTAGGGAAAGGGGCTGGGCTAGGTGCACGGGCGATGTGATTTGGCATGGCTGGAGGAGACTGGTATGATACCGGAGGTTGCCGATTTGTCATGGGGGGTATGGAGCTAGAGGCAGGCTGGGGAGGATAAGGTGACTGACGCTGACTAGGATGACTTGGCCACTGACTATCCTGATTTGGCCTGCCCTCTGGGTCATCTGCACGGCTAATAGAAGGGTATGGAGGCCCATGGCCTTGTCTTCCAGGGTAAGGGTAACCCATATCCGTCCTGGGGTGCCACATGTTAGCCTGAGGCCCTCCACTGGGGGTGGAGGATGGTCCTCCACTCATCATGCTATGCTGGGGAGGACCCTGTCCTCCGTGTTGCATGCGCTCACGATTATACTGGTAGGGGAACTGGCCCTGCATGGGTCTGCGATCTGGGTATCCACCACCATATTGACCATACATGTCTGGCTGCTGGCTGCCATACTGCATGCTATAGGACTCTCCCTCATGTCGTTTTCCTGAAGGGCCATACATCCCTTCCCCAGGTCTTTTGTAGCCCTAAAGAGGCACAGAGCAATCAGTTACATGCCTTACTGTTTCTTGACTTTAGCTTCACACTGACTTTATAGCAGTAAAGAGAGCATCTGCAAGATGCCAACCTTAACGTGTTTGCATAGGCTAAAGATAATCCAATGATGCTTGGAATATAATGTTCACAGTTCACCAGATTACTGTATAATACAGTAATTTAACTATAAGAACACTTCATCTGCACACTGACCTGCGGCTGTGGATACATTCCATGTGCACCGTATGACATGCCTTGTGGATACTGCTGACCATAACCGTCATGTCCATGTCTAAAAAAGAAAACAAATTACAGTAGGTTCAGACATTTAGGTCAGAAACCCACCTTTACTCATTCACATCCATAAATCCTAACCCTATTTACCTTTGATGAGAAGGGTATCTACTGCCTGAGTACATGCTTGGATCATTGTTGGAAGGCATCATGTTGTTCTGATTCACAGGTGGAGCCATTCCACCCTCTGGCCCCATGGCATGATCAGGCCTGAAGAAGGAACATGACAAAAGACATGAACAAGCAAGTCCTGGCTTTATTTAGATCAGTCGTTTAATAGTGTATTGTGGGATGTCACCAACCTTCTCTCAAAGGTAGGGCTGTAAGGGTACTGGGGACGTGGGCCCATGCCTTGCCCTCCAGGGGGTCCACGTGAGTACATGTCCTGCATGCCGCTGCTAGGCAACTGTCCTGGCATGAAGGGTTCATTGCCACCTACAAACACATACACTTTTCAAAAACTGATAGCATCCCTATAGTTGGGAATGAAACTAAAAGATATGGCATGCTGTAGACACTAGATGGCAGCACTGTCCAAGAAATCACTGCAGTTACAAAGCACTTTGAGCCAGGGCACTTGCAAAGCATAACTAATAAAGGGCATCTAGCAGACAAGAATGAAGGTTCACTTTCAGTATAATTAAGAAAATGTTAACTCACCTTTCCTTGGACCTCCATAAGGCTCCTTGTTAGCATCATATTGCATTCTTACACTGGGATCTGCACCTGCACTGCCTCCACCTTGCTGGTACATCATGCCAGGCGGCATATTGCTCCGCTTTTGGAAAGCTGGGTCGCAGCTTTCAGAGAAGGGATCCTGCACACTGACACCACTGTTTCTACAGGCAAGAGTGAGGAGAGACAAATGTGTACCAGTACCCAGATTAGACAGGAAAGTTCAGGACACACAATTTTAATTGTTTATTGCTCGTACAGAAGATATAGTGAAGACTTGCACATCCTTTCACTGCATTGAAGTAGAGCCTTAAAAGACCCAATGGTAATATCAACCGAAGTCCACAGATTTTTTCCAAATTTCTTTATAACTTAATCACTGAGATATAAACATAGTTATTCGGGGTTATTTTTAAGCTCGGCAGTTTGGAATAGTTGCTAGAAAAACATGTAAATGGGTTTATCTCAAATCAGTGTGCAGTTCACATCTGTCTCTTCTGAATTCTCTCTTGTGGTTCCTAGGCTACACCGTCAAAATTGAGCACTTTGGATCCTGCTGTGAGGAGAAATCTTCAAACTGTGCAGGAGGGGGATCGTTTTACAATACTCCCAGCAGGCTAAGTGGTATTGATCTAACATCTGAGGCTGAGGTATGGTCTTTGGATATGGTGTTACAGGACAGGTGTTTTGTTTACAAACATTAAGTGTCCGCTGGTGTAGGAGACTTGCAAAAGAACTGAATTATGGCTATAGAAAATAAAAACCAGCACATCAAATCCAAAATAGAACTAGAAAGATGTTTTTCTGTGAAAACAAAACACACATCTCTATACTAACAATGTTTATGCTGAAAATGTCACTCTTCTTAAGCACTTTCACAGGAAGCTGTGTTTTTAGTGCAGATGCATATTATCTGTTTATTTGCATTTGTGGTCTTTTGGTTTTCCTCTGTTTTCAACCTACACCTCTCCCTCCACAGCTCCTTACTACGCTTTAGTGATGATGATAAATCCTCGAAAACCTAAAAGACTTTGGACATGAAGATGTGGATTCGGGTACATTTGCTAAGTAGATTTTACTCACCGGCCACTCTGAGGTGTCATCTGGCTGTGGGGAGTGGTGGCTGGAGTCGGGGGCTTCAGATCTCCCGGCATTTCTGTCATAGAGCTACTGCCTGTTGACTGTGGAGTCTGAGGCCCCTGGAGAGACCCAGAGTTTGCTATGAAACAAAGGGGAGAAAAGAAAACAAATACATCAGAAATATAAAAGAAAGCAGTCTTTCCTTCTTTCGTTTTCTTTCCCCCTTTTTTTTTCTTTTTCTTTTAGAAAATTGTATATAATAAGCAATGAAACAGAATACAGAGATACCACATCATTAAGCAAAATGACGCTGCATACAGTGGCCCTAAAAAGTACTTGGACGATTGTGCCACACATAAAAATGTATAAGGTTCACAGTGTCAGGAAACAAAATGTCATTTATTTTAAACAGACCATTCCAGGACTGTAATTTTCTTTTTGGCAAGGTATTCTTCCAAAAGGCGGCTGGTGTGTTTCAGATCGTTATTTCTTCTGCAGACTTTGCAGGTTTTCATCCAAAATTTCTTTGTACACTTCTGAGTTCATGATCCCATCAATGAACACAGGCTCACTGACACTATTGTGGGAAATGCAGCCCCAGACAGTGACTTTTCTACCTCTGTGTTACAGCAGCCTTAGTGCAGCCCAATGTAAAAAACTTAATTCTGTAAAAACAATAATTCTGTAGTTTCCTAAAGTAATGCAATAATTATATCAAATTGTGAAATTTGAGATTTTGGTGAGATTTTGGACATGATGTATGAAATTTTTCCTAAAGAACCATAATCAACTGACTTATAAATTGGTTAGGACAAACATTTATTTCCCTACCTTGGAAGTAGTGATGTTCTGATAGAGGGATATTTTAATGGATCACGTATAATCACGGATAAATTAAGCCTTTCTTTGCACTTTATTTACATCACTGTTGTAGACGTGACGTAAACAGGCATAATCCACAGCCTACCAGAGCAAGGCATGTTTTCAGAAGTTAACAAAGCAGGTTAAATGCCTACAGTGTGGAAATGTTTTCAAGGAGAAATTTAAAAAGCTATACATGCAGTCCTGGTGTTTTAACTGTGTTTAAACTAGCAGAGTTTTGTCTAAACACAGGCAATTAAAATGTGAGCACAAGGCTATCATGCTTGAAGTCCATTTTCTGCTGCAGAGAAAATAAACCATTATGTCGTTCTTTCACTTGCAACTGTTTGAAAACAAAACTATTATGGAAACATGAAAACAAAAGCTATCACTTGAGATTGCGTACCATTATATTAAAAAATTCACTGCTGAACATCAAATTTACTGGTAGCCAAATTATCGGGGAGGTCAATCATACTGGATTGTTATATACACTATAAAATGGTCATTTAAAAAATGTAGGCCACAAAAACAAAGCTTTATTAATCAACAATGTTACATTGTGCACAAACTAAAAAAGGTATTTTATTGTAGTATGAATGAGCAGACTAGCATATCTTACCTATACTGTGTGGCTGAATTATCTGTGACAATACAAAGACTAAATCTGTATCAGCTGATACTCAACATTAAGGTACCCTAAAAGGATTGGAGGGCAAAGAAAAAAAAATCCAGATCATGACATCTCTGCTTATAAGTGTGTAAATTTCACAGAGATAAAGCCAATTTCAGTCTTTTATTATTTTAATAAAAAATATTTGTTAAATAAGAAAAGAAAGCTGAAACCACTGTGCGCTATTTTCTAAAACTACAAGAAGTATCGTCTTAATTATTTTCAGTCCATATTATTATGGACCAAGAGAAGCTCTCTCAAATCCTACAATCCCAGGCTTTCATTTCCATAATCCAATAAAACATGAATTCTGCAGTCTTTAGTGTTTGCGAAAGAAGTGGAATTGGTGAACATAATTTCAGACATTTTCAGGCTTAACTTAATTAAGAAAGTAATAAAGCCAGTTTGTATTTCTGTAACATGGCAAAGGGTGAGTGGCAAGGCTTCAGAAGAAGCAGAGTAAAGCACAATGGGGGCAGTGAAAGCCTTCATAACACTGCCAGCCTCAGAACTACTGGCAGCCGTGCTTCAGCTCAGAGTAAACAATGCAGACGGGTTATGGGAGGGCACTTACAGTCTGTGTGAACTGAAGTGACCTCAACGCCATATTCACTCAGAGCAAGGGAGGAAAAAAAAAGACAGAGTGGGGGAAAAAAAGTGCTGGCTCACTGGTCCGCTGTGCATGAGGGGGTCAGACGGAGGTCATTTTTGTTTATATCCCACACTCCTCCCCCATTAATCTTCTCTGGGGGAATCCCCCCTCCTGCTGCTTGACAGCTCTCTCTCTCTCTCTCTCTCTCTTTTTCTCTCTCTCTCTCTGACATCATCAGCTACTCGCCCGCAGGCAGGGAGGGGGGGGTTATTCCTTCAGCTGGCCGTCTGACAGCTCCCCTCCCCCCATTCCCCTTTTTCTCTTTTCCTCTCTCAGCTTGAGTCAATCACCTGTCAGATATTTTTAGCTCACGTGCAGCCAGCTCACGATTCATTTCAAGGCAGATGAGAATGCAGTGAAGGTGATGTGCTCAAAAGCCTGGAGGACCATCATTTAGACTAAATGGTGCACTCAATGTAACCTATGCTATAAGAGATGCACAATATGACTATATTTATTGTAATCATCACATCTCATCACAATAAGCCTTTCTGGGTAGATCATGGATGCGGTCATTATTTAAAGAACACTAACCGACTGCATATTTCATTACAAAGAGAGCATCTCCTGTTTCATTGGATTCAATTCAAAACACTGAATACAAATCACTGTATACGTAGTTTTTGGTAGTAGTTTTCAATGTGGCACTACTGGTTCTTTTTGTCTTGTATTATTAAACTTCTGAAAAACTAAATATAGTGATCCAAATCATAAATTTACAAAATTTAAGCCTAATTAAATATAAACAGTCATTCCAAGTTTTGACACAAAACAAAGTTATTGCAGAAAATGATTATGAATACGCAGCCTGATGCCTGAGACATGAGTAGCTGGCTGTGCTAGTATGCTATGCTTGAAGCAAGCTGATAAATTAAGTATGTTTTTGTTGTACATGCTTTGAGCAGAAAACAACAGCATGAATTAACTGGGCCTTATTGGACAAGTTCAAACAACATTTTAGCTGAATACACTGCAGATATTTAGGTTATAAAATGTTAAAGTAAATTATGTTAATTAGTTTTGTGTGGAATAGTGCAGTATAATGTTCCAGTAGAACAGATGCTCTCCTGACCTGGTGACGGGGGCTGTATCTTGGCCTGCTGCTGCTGCTTCTTGCCATCCCCCATGGCAAAGGCGTCCGGTGGGGGTTCCTCGCCACGCTCCACCTTACACTCATAGGCAAACAGGTACTGGATATACTGCTTCTTCAGAGAGCTGGCTGAGCTGCTGGACGTGCCCACATTCAGAAGAGTGGAGAGCTCACGCCATTTCTTATTCTTGTTCACCTATATAGGAGGATGGCACTATTAGAGGAAAGGGAGTAAAGGACACTATTATGCTAATATATGCTTTTGGAGTTTGTTTAATTTTATCTAGGAAGGTTCTAGATAAATCTAGGTATTAGATTTTAATCCAGTATGAACCTGCAGTGTTTGCAGTTTTATAGTCTGACAGTAATAATTGTGGAGTGATTTTAATCCAGTATGAATCTGCAGTGTGTAGATTTACAGTCTGACAATAATAACTGTGGAGTGATTTTAATCCAGTATGAATCAAAAGTGTGTGTAGTTTTTATAGTCTGACAGTAATAATTGTGGAGGAAATTTAATCTACTATAAATCTGCAGTCTGTGTAGTGTTTACAGTTGGATAGTAATAATTGTAAAGTGAACTGTCTTCTGTAACTGGATGAAGCTCCATCAGTAATATTAGTCCTGTTCCAATCCACCTCACACTAATGCAATAACAAAACCTACTAACAGATACGGTCTTGTGCTGTGTTGTTATTGTTACTTAATAGGTATATTCCTGTGTAAGCCTCTAAGGCTCTCTACTCACCATTGCCAGCCCTCCTATGTCCCGCACGCACATATAGAGGCGGCACAGGTCTAAAGGCTTCTTGCCCACAGCAGGTATGTTGGGTACAGGTGTGCCCCTGTCATCCATGAAGGCTAGGTAGCGTTCCACCCATGCCCTCCTCTCCGGTTCACTGCCCATTTCATACAGCCTTGTTATCTTTTCATTTGTCATGGTGGCTGAGCTGTGCTTCTACACAGGAAAGGGGGAGAAGAGGTAAGATATCGAGCCAGCAATGAATAACCATTCAGCGTCCAAGAATGCACAACTGAATAAGTTACATCACAATACGTTATTGTACAGCAATACAAGTGAAATGTGAAATGCAGATAGCCCTGTCATGACTGTGACAGGCCTATATATTATCTTTTTATATATATATATATATATATATATATATATATATATATATATATATATATATATTTCTGAAATGACTGCCAACTTTGGCAACAACATCTTAAGGTTGAGATTTCTGACAAAAAAGTGAAAGATGTTTGTTACACTCCAACATTTTCTCATATCTCTGTCAAGATGTCATAACATTAACATTAAGGTCAAAACAACATTAAAGTGGGGTGCGAAAGAGGAAGAAGGGCAGCCTAACAGCAATAAAAAAGAAAGACAGGGAGCGGAAAAAAGACAAAGGAAGTGATAGAGTGGGAGATAAAAAGAAAGCGAGGAAGAGAGAGAGAGAGAGAGAGGAGAGAGAGAGAGAGAGATACAGAAAGAAAGACAGAGATAGGCCTGTCACAATTATTATATAAATGCCTGATCAGAATTACTTGAACTAATCACAATAATTTTCCAAAGCTGTTAGCAAACAGAATGTACAAGCAGAAAATGCATTTATAGAGACACATCATCTTACAAAAACACAAAAATTGTAACTTCTGACTTGGTGCAATAAAACCTTCAGCGGTATGATGTTTGTTTATTTGATATTTGCTAATAACACTTTTAGAGGGCAGCAGTGAGCAATGTTTGTTTATTTGATGTTAACACCTTTAGAGGGCAGCAGTGAGCAATGTTTGTTTATTTGATGTGAACACCTTTAGAGGGCAGCAGTGAGTAATGTTTGTTGACGATGTTTGTTAATGAGACCTTTAGAGGGCAGCAGTGAGTAATGTTTGTTGACGATGTTTGTTAATGAGACCTTTAGAGGGCAGCAGTGAGTAATGTTTGTTGACGATGTTTGTTAATGAGACCTTTAGAGGGCAGCGGTGAGTAATGTTTGTTTATTTGATGTTTGTTAATAACTCCTTTAGAGGGCGGTGGTGAGTAACGTTTGTTTATTTGATGTTAACACCTTTAGAGGGCAGCAGTGAGTAATGTTTGTTTATATAATGTTTGATAATAACACCTTTAGAGGACGGCAGTGAATAATGTTTCTTTATTTCAGCTCGAGCAGTGTGCTGTATCCACAGCTAAGAAGCGAGATCAGCCACTTCAGGCCTGTACTTTAATAGTTGGAATACAATGAAAAAAATAAACACAATAAAAATTGTTTATTTATATGGCAATTAATCTTCGACCAAAACTTCATGACTGTGACAGGCCTACAAAGAGAGAAAGAGAGAGACAGAGTTAAAGTGCTTGTGGCACTCACAGGGCTGGTGGGTGTTTTTGGCCAGGCTGGGCTGCTAATGCTGTCACTGTCGTCTCCGTGATTGGAGGAGAGGCTGGCGGGGCTGGGGGAGAGGGGGGACGGGGTAGGGGGCTGAGACACACACTGAGCGCTGTAGCTGTCCTGTCACCCAGAATAAAAGAAGGACAAAAGACAAGCACACACACAACAGGACCACATGGTGAGAAATCAAAGTCAACCAGGATTTCAGTTTGTCTTTTGTACTGTATCCCATTTTCTTGTCTCATGCACACCATGCTCTCCTCAAAGAGTTCCTGTATGATTTAGGCTTGTGTGCTTGTGCTAAACATAACAACGCCTGATAGCGCCCCCTAGCCATTGTATATTGCTGATACTGCCACAGAGAAACATTTTTTAACCAGAAGAACTTGTAGGCTAACTTTGTTCTTGCTGTGGTTTGGTTGTTCTGGCTAAAGGTTTAATAAATCACACTTTAACAGCCTATAAAGTGCTTCTTGTTAAATTAATATTTTACATGCTAAGTTAGTCTACGACAGGGGAGTTCAGTTTCACCAAAAAAGCCAGCATGCCTGCAGATTTTCACTCCAACCAAGCAATGCCTCACATCCTACACTTAATCAACTGTTTGAAGATTGAGACCAACTGATTAAACGAGAGGAATCAAATGAGCTTCTACTTGACCTGACTGATAACTGTTATTGTTATTAGGCTTTTAGAATGAGCTTTATTAGATGGACTTTTCTGAATAGGCTTTGGATTTAACAGCTCTGATGAAACCTCAACTTTAGGCATACATTCACGTTTTACGAGAGAAGTCGTTCCATGCATGTAAGGCTACAGCACAGCTTTGATCTGTTTTAGCCTAGCTTTTAGACCTCTGAGGATGCGTTGTTGTTCTGTAGTTCACCATTAGCATCCAGACAAGCTGTGGGTGTAAGTCATCTCTGTGTACGGGAAAAAAAAACCAGCGTTTTTGGAAAAAAATGCTCCATCGTGTTTTGTGGTAAACCAATGAGTCCCAAAGCCTATTTGTCCAAGGTAGTGTTGTGCCACAAATATCACTGAGTCATTTCAACGACAAGGTCATTAAGTATTCAAAACTGCTACTAGAGTTGTACTAATATGGCCTGTGTGGGTCGACACTACTATGGGATACTTTTCATATTCTTATGTGCCAATGCTGATCCCCATAAATAAACGTTTATAAAAAGTTAGAAATTGGAACCTCACATCTACCTGGATTAGCAATACACAGAAATGTCACATTTATTTCTGTAGGGTTCCAAATGCAGTAAAACGAATAAAATGAATAAAATGTGTCTAAATGCAGAAAAGGGATCTAAGTTTTCTTTGTGTTCTTTGGGCACTTTTTTTGCCATACAATGTCCTGCACGTGTCTCTCCGCCATTAAAACGTATGTTTTAAACCAAAACTTTATCTCAAAACTATTGTTTATTCAAACTAAATAATGTCTTAGACTTCTGGCAGTTAATTCATTACCATTTCAAGTAATAACTTTCTGTGAGGGAGCTTTTAGAGACGTTAAACTGTTCAAATGTCTGGTTCCCATCACCACCACTGTGAAGAATTATGCTTTCCTTATTTGTCTAGAACAGAGCATTTCTCATCAAAACACTGAATGAATCTGTTAGCGACATTCATAAACACCATTCTTTTTTTCCCCATAGACGAAAATGGCTTAGATCCAGAGGTCCTTATTTGGACATGACGTTAAATACAAAACGATGAACAACCTTAGAGGTCTATGGTAAGATCTTCAGAAATATGTTTTCAATAATGGAATCCACTGGGGATTCCCGAAATCACCAATATTATTCAGCTCAAGTGTGACTGAAAGCCAAGTGTGACTACTGGCTCTGCCTGTGCGGAGCATCAAAAGAGCCAGCCGGCAGCTTTAAAATCCTTTTCTTCTTCTCAGTCTCTCTTATTCACTCCGCTGCTAGTACTACAGACCAGTTGTGACGCTTCCAAACAGTTCCCACTGAGAGCTACTGAACCGCTGCCTCGCTTCACCATGCCCAAAAACGGCACACGAATGAACACGAGAGCAAGAGACGGAGGAAATTTAACAGCGATTCAAACAGTGTGTGGTTTGAACAGTGGTTGAGCTACACAGGACCAGAGGTTCTGCATGGAGGAGCTTCCACTTTCCGCTGAGCGTGAGGAAAAAACAAAGCCGTGCTGCTGCGCGAGCTGTCACCATGACAACAGCCTGCACAATGCCGAGGTAGAGAGAGGGATGCTCATTAAATAACCCGAAAGACAAAGAGAGAGACAAGAGAGGAATTTCTTTAAAACAATTTGAAGCGACAGTTTTTTTTCTGCCTTCCATGATCACAGCAATCCCCCCACCCCCACTCCCCACCCCTACGCAGTTTGGTACCAAAGTAAAGAAACTCCGGGAAAAAGACAAAGAAACAAGTAACAACTCTCACAACAAGTACTACACAAGACTAGCCAAGAAAAAATAGAAAAAAAGAACACAAAAAGGCAAACAGGAACATGTGTCAAAGCAGTTTGAACAGTAAACCAAGTTCTGAGAACAGTGCAGTTATTTTTGCATGTTGATGCGCAAATAAATCAGTCTAAACAAGGAAGAGGTGCGATGAGAAATGCAGGCGCTGAAGAAATAAACGTAATGAGTAACTCGCTCTCAATTACAAAGTGTTGTACAAGCTCCTGTCCTACCAACTGTACTGACCAGGCTGTCCTGACTGCCCACTGTGAGGCTCTGATAGTCTAGTTAGAAATAAGATTTTCCTGCTAGGGCTGCTCAATATATTGTTTGTGCCCCTGATCCAACTGTGATGGCTAGGCTGTTCCAAGTGTCCATTTAAAAGGGCCCACATCAAAAAACCCGAATTTACCTATTTGTCTTAAAGATACAGAAGCCAAACCAGACTGTTTAATTCTAAGGGATAGAGGAAGTTACAAAATGGTTATGTGACGAACACCATAAATGGACCCCAGAGGAAAAATGTCTGATATGGGCTCTTTAAATAGTGGCGCTGTTCGTTTTACATAGGCCAAAGGTTTACATTTACCAAAGGTTTCTTCTCCTCAGGCATAGCAATGTAAAAAGTTCCAGGGCTGCACAATATATTGTTAATCATCAGTTAACTGTTATCGTGATGTTGGTCTTTGCAATACTGATATCATTGAAGGCTGCAATACAGAAATAATTGTGATTGCCCTTTAACCAATCACAGTGTGTTTTTCACTGTTTGCTGTCAGTAACTTGACCAATGGCAGTTCCAGATGAGTGTTTACTGTTGATCAGCAAAAAAATATGTTGATCCTAAAAGTGACAATGGCCAAAATCACAAATGTAACCATCACTTTAAACGTAAGATTTCCTGTTTTAAATACTAGAAAACACCCTTCTGATGATGAATTTTGAACGTGGAAGTAAACTTTAAAGGACTACAATTGCTTTGGAGTGGATACCTGGGGGCGGACTGTTTGAATTTATTTTTTGTCCCCAGCTGGTTATTTTAATTTCTGTTAATCCCTTATTTTAATTGCTATTTTATTGTCTTTAATTTTCAGCTCTTTAAGTTAAAACTTAATTGCACTTTATCTTACCACTACTTTCATTTCCTTTAATTCCTTATTATATATGTTATTATTTTGAGCTATGTATTTTGTATTTTCTTTTAATTGTTAATTATGTTAATTATGTATCTTTGCAAAAGCTTTTCTGAGGTGTTAGATCTCAGGATGGAATAAGCTCCCTTATTTTCACTGCACTTTATATTCACTGCACTTTATTTATATACATATATTTATAGCACTATTTTATTATTTTTCAATCCCTTATTTTATTTATTTTTTTTGCTCTTTCATTATCTTTAGCTCCTGCATGTTAGTTTATTCATATGTCATCTAAATGTTCTCCTAAGCTTTATCAGCTTTTTGGAGGTTTTTAAAAGTTTGCCAGCACGGGTATCCTGAGGACTGATTAACAGCTTAGAGTTTGGTATTTCTTCAAAGAAGGATTTTATTCAGTTACAGCTGCTATTCAACGGGTGAAAGCGGTAACTCTTGGCACTCTTCCTCACTTAGGGTGCTGGAAATTACTTGCATATAATAGCAATTGCATTTCTTACTTCTTATGCATGTCTTATGTTTTAATAATCTTTGCAAATGTTTGAGGTGCTAGATCTCAGAAATAACCAGTATTATCTAATGCATTTATTTTCTGTTTGTGTAAAGCACTTTGAAATGCCACTGTGTATGAAAGGTGCTTTACAAATCAACTTGCCTTGCCTAGCTAAATCTTGAAGAGATTCTCAATGGTTGTATGACGTATTTGTGAAATGCATGCTGGGCACTGTAGTGAAACGACACTGATTGATGAGGAAATATAATATCACAAATTCTGTCAAATCTACGAGGCTGAAAGAACAAATAATAAATTAAAAGGTAGTTTTAGGCCAGAATGCCTGTTTGACCAGGTCACACTGTGATTCACAAACGCATTTTTAATATGCTGCAGGCATAAGAAAATTGCAATATGTAGTAATATAATCACAATACTAGTATTTTGTCCATATTGTGCATCTCCAACATTCCAAAAAATGCTATCATGACATGGACACTAAAATGAGCTTAGTTTTGTGCCCAAAGACCAAACAGTGCTGAAACGTAACGTGTTTCACATCAGAAATGAATGCACTGATTTAGAGTCAGACTGATTCACTCATATAAATCAATATCCTACCCCCTTCATTGGCCACAGAGGGGCCACCCACACCTCCAGCTTTTAGTTTGGAAGTTTCTAGCCTCATGCAAATCAAAGTCCAGCAGTGTTCAGGGAAATAAAGGAGAAGTGTGAGATTACACTGTATGAGAGTCACAGGGCCAGCTCTGATGTAAATACCAGCAGCACTGTGCATGTTCCGCTTAGGGTCAGTTCCAGTCATAAGAGCAAAATGGAGAGAGTGAAAGAGGAATTACAAACACACAAAGCTGTAAGGCTGAGCGCTGGCATATCTCACTGATCTGTTGAAGCATTATAGCTGGTACCTGAGGCAGGCTTACTGCAAACTCCTAGGACGTCTTACAGCTCAGTTGGTGGAAGATAATTTTCTTATATAGCCCTTAAACACTGGAATAGCGTTCCAGAGAAGCAATGCAAGCTATATAGGTGTTCTTATATCCGTTTTAAAAACGTTTCTTTGGCTGCGTATGCCTAGAAGTATTGTGGCTTATTTTCCCCAGTTTTGTAATTCTGCTGTTATTTAATTTAGAGTGCAGTGTTTTTATTATGCCTATAACTTACTTATACTTTTGTGTAAAGCACTTTGAGATTTTGTAACTAGAATGAAAAGTGCTACATAAATAAATGTATTATTATTGATACAAGTAATGTAGTGCATGAGTCAAATCTACACACCAAAATATTTCTGAAACATGGGCAGTTACAGGTAATGCATCAATGTGAAGGTGATTCAGTTGCATCAGTTCTGGAAAAATGAATTATACCTGATAAAAAATAATGAAAGAAATGATTCCAGCTCTCTTCAAGCATAAAAATCCAATGAAAAGCTTGGTGCATTGTTTTGTTACTTTTATTACTATTTACACAATTTTATTTTTTAATGTACTTTAATGAATTAATAGCTTAGTGTGTGTCTGTGTGTTTTGCATCCTAGTAAAGCAGGATAGCAGACTCTATTATCTACGCTAAGCAAAGCAAAGCTGTGCCACAAGCCAGAGGAAAGGGCAGTCAAGCAGATGCATGAAGGGTAGCAGTGGATTAACTTCAGTTATCTCTGATCACATGCTTGAAAAGTGACAGCAAGTGATGGAGAACAAGAGAGAGAGCAGGACACAGAGAGATAGAGATGTGTTTGTACCTTAGATTTAGGTTGTTCTGTGCTTGCCACGCTTCCCTCTTCTTTGTGCTCTGTTCTCTGTTTGAGGTCAGCAGGCGGCATGCTGTCTCCTGCCCCCATGGCCATGGGTCCTGCAGAATACACACAAAGTCACACACATTACACATAGGGGTAACTTTAACTGCATCAATTGTAGAATATTGCAATCAATTAGAACAATATCCAGCACTTTACAGAGGAATTTGACAGATCTTTCAAAATGTCTGCAGAATTAAATGGATACGGTGTTGGCATTATATACAATACTTGAAATTCTTGGTCTATTTTCAAATGTAAAATATTCATGTATACAGTTACATTTGTGTATTTAGCATAAATACATAAATACACTATACATATATAGTGTATTCACTATATTCACTATATTCAGTATCTGTTGAGTGGTGCAACAATGTAAAAATTTGCCCTGTCTTTGGCCACAAGTCCAAGAAAGCACTGTTGTCCTCAATCTCTCTGATTGGTTAGGATGGTCCTCCCATTCCCCCAAAACTCAGCGTGATGCTAGCCAATGTGGGAGTCGTAAAAGAATTTTACAAAAAGTTTGCTGCAGTGTTAAGCTGTCCAATGACTGTGCATGACCAGTAGGTGTCACAGAGGAAGCTCGTACTAGTCTTCACCCTCTTGGCTTAATAGCATCATGTGATAGAAGGAGATCTGACTGACTAGTGGGTTGAATCATTAATGACTAAAAGTGGTGAGAAAAACTGGCTAAAAATCCCTCAGCGCTCTTACCAGAGGCCATAGTGCTGTATGCAGGACCCTGCATGTTCATCCTGTTGGAGTTGTTGCCGGGTGGCTGGTTATAGGGGCCTCCGGGGCCCATTCCACCCACAGGGGGCCCACTTGGGTACCCACCTGACCTGCAGACACCAACACAAAAACAACAGAGTTGATTACATAGTGAATGCATCAGTACTAACAACATTAAAATCCTGTTCATGAAGTTAGCAGACAGGTGAGCTGTTATGCATTTAGTAGTTCTGTACTGTAAAGAAAGAAGGTTACATTAAGCTTTCAGACTTTTAGTTTGCATGTAAGTAAGCAGAGTTTGGCTCACAGCGATGCAGTGTAGTATTAAGGCAAAAGCCATGATAACAGACCTCTGAAGTCGTGCCATCATTTGTGGTTGGTGCCATGTCCAAATGAGAAACTCTGGGTCTAAGCTCTTTTCTCTATGGAAAAAACGATTTTTGAAAATTGGAGCCCTGTACTACCCAGAAGTGTTTTAAAGCCAATATGTTCCGTCCTGAAAGTCACTGGGTCCTCTGAATTGCAAGGTTGTTAAGGAGTCAAAATGCAAGCATGCAAGCTAACACTGTTGTGCACTGAACTGGTAGCCTCACCAAAATGCCCCACACAAATCAGCAAGCTTTGTCAAATGTGGTAGTTCATTGGCTTTGGCAGATTTAGTTTGAGTAGCTGGTGTTGTTATATAACAGTTTTTACTTTTGTGTCATTATTTTAACGTGCAGGAGCGCTGAATGTGGTAATATTCATATTTTGGACTCTTTAGAAACCTCTAATTTCTAGGTTTCAGTGATATTTGGGGGTTGAAATGTAAGCAGGATAAAATGTATCATTTTTTAAACATTTTTGTTCAGTGACAATTTTCGAAAACAGCATTAATTATTCCCATAGGGAAAACAGTTTAGACTTGGAGTTCCTTATTTGGGCATGGAGCAACAAAATGACGCATAACTTTAATAGTCTTCAGTGAGTGTACTGTCAATGACGTGACAAAACACTGTATCTCTAAAATGGTGACTTTCCAGGAGAAGAAAAAACATTCTTATCTTTAGGTTTAAATTCTGGAGCATTTCTGTTACTCCATTAATCATGAAATTTTAACACAGTGCAAACGTCAGCTGGAAAAACAGAAAAAGGAGAAATACGGTTTTGTTCTGGTATCGACGATATTTTACATTAGAAAATAGGAAAACAAAGAATATTTGGGAAAAACTCTTTAAAATTCAAAAGCACTACCCGGACTGAATTCCATATATTATAATATAGAAAATAAATAATGTTTTATTTCATAGATCTAATAAGCACTAGAAACAGTGTTCTAAACAGACAGATCACAACAATCGATACAGCATCGTCTCCAACTGAAAACATCAATTAAAACCTTAAATGACCAGCAGATCCTGGCGTCCTGTCCACACTCCTACTCCTAAAGAATAACTCTGTCAGTTTGCATTATTTTCTAAGTAGATACTGAATAAAAAGCCTAAGGATGTAATAAGTCCGGGAATGTAAGGGTTTAAGTGCCTTAAGTACTTTTAATACCTTATACTGACTTCATATTGAACGAGATTCTTTGACTCGGTTCACATTCCTACGTTGTTGTTTTATTGTAAGTTAGTCTGCTCTCACATGTTCAACCATTCCCAACTAAACTGAAGAAGGGGCTTCTATGCTGCTCTCAGTGTATGTTTTATTAAACCCGAGAGCCAGCTTATTTACTGTATAGATCAGTAAGGAGTGTGGAGTTAACATTTTGGAGCAGTGCTCCTTAAAACCTCCATCATCTTTATTTCTATCTCATGAGGGCTGTGCGTAATGAGGTTTAAGCTTCAGAGAACCAAGAATTTTCACAGAGACCCTCTAGAGGTCAAGACTTATTCAATTTTTTAGGTATTAAGTTTGATTTCAGGGAAGAAGCCATTTCACTCAAAGCAGACTATTGGGCAGAAGTTTGTTGTTTTGTTTCCTTTATTTTCAGCTCAGAGACAGCCATCGATCTTGAGAGAAAAGAAGTGTCTTGTGCTGACCCTCAAAAAGACTTTCTCCATCCCACAATCCAAAAGAACAGCATATACACATAAAACCCTAGGTTGTTAGCACAGTAGCTTAGCCTACACATTAACCAGTAGGGGTGTAAAATTTAACCATGGCATCAATCTGAAGGTCATGATTTAACTAATTGAATAAAATAACAATACGTATGCTAATGGTATGCCTAAAATAAAATTCTGAAGATATTTTCAGATGTAAAATAAAAGAACTTGGCATGTTTTTCAAAACCAGGGAGAAAACACCTTTATAATAATGCTAATTTCTGATGACATCACTGTGGGATTAAGCTAATGGCAACAAACATTTTTTGGCCGTTCTAGATTAAACATGAACATCTCTAACAGTCATATTAACATATATTCTATTTTATAGCAGTTTTACAGCGACAATTTCAGTAAAGAGTGATGTTGCTGTTCTACATTTCTAACAAATGACATTTTTTTAACCTTCCAGAAAGCCTGAAGTTATGTTTTTCCACCCATTACAATATGTGAGGCCTTCAGTTTAACTCCTACTTATTAGGACAGAATCGAATCATAAAATTTGAGATTTCTTGATGAGTTAAATCACTTCCTACAGAACTGTACTTGAATCATGGTTAGAGATTTACACCCCCAGTAACCAGACCAGAGATTTTACAGTACAGAGGATGATGTGAAATAATGTGTAATGGCTATGGCGTGTAAGCACATATGTGTGCGGTTAGTGTTAAAGGCAGCAGCAGCTTTAGGAGCTTTGAGCAGCAGCAGACCAGCTGAGAAGTTTAGGCAGCAGGGCGGGGCGTGCCAGCTGCACCTACCCAAACTGCTCGGGCTGAGGCTGGCCATGGCCGCTGCCGTACGGGACATGATGGGGGTGAGGGAAATGTGGGGAGGTGAAGGGGGTTGTCCGCCCCCCCGACCCGGAGAGCCCTGCATAAACGGGGGACCTGGCATACGGAGGCCTGAAGCAGAGGGCAAGGGCACAACAGCCTCACTGGTCAAGTCCCCATTCACATTGACTTGTATAATAATGACATGAATATAGGGCTGGTCAATATGACAGTAGTCATCATGATAAAGTGTATCACAATATTAAAATATGCTTTTCCAAGCATATCATAGCTATTGTCACTACTTAAAAAAAAACTCCCCAACCGCTTGTTTGATTAAGAGAGCATAATCAGTCCTGTTTAATTGGATTGAATGCAGTATAGTATGTGAAATTTTGAATAAATGATTGGATTCATAGTATTTTTTAAATGTGGCATTACTTTTTTATATTTTTTTAATTTTTACCCAATTTTCTCCCCAACTTAGTCGCCTCCAATTCCACCCGCTAGTTAGGACTCCCCCAATCACACAATACTATCAACGCTAGGAGGGTGAAGGTTAACACAGGCTTCCTCCGAGACCTGTGAAGCCAGCCACCGCTTCTTTTTGAACTGCCGCTCACGCAACGTCACTGGACAGCTGAATGCGCTCGGAGGAAAGCGCCAACCGTCAGATCTGTTACGTCAGCTAACAGACGCCTGCGCTGAGTAGCATCGCGTTGAGTGATGGGGGGAGAAGGGGGGGCCATCCTATCCACCCAGAGAGCGAGGCCGATTGTGCTCTCTAGGACTCCCGACTATGGACGGCTGTAGCATCACCAGGGATCGAACTCGCGATCTCCTGATGATAGGGCCAACGCTTAGACGGTTGTGCCACTCGGGAGCCCAAACGTGGCATTACCTTGACTGTTCCAACTTATGAGATGTCAGAAAACATAAATACCGTGACAAATCATGTATCATGAATAATTTTTTTAGAAGTATTATGATCTTACATTTTTGCCATATTGTCCAGCTCTACATGAATATGACCAGTACAGAATGTATAATGTACAGCGCTGCCAGGTTTCAAAATGAAAATGTATGAAAATTCATGTCAGCACCAATTACACTACATTTCAAAAGTTTAAAATCACCTGTCATTTAAAGAATTATTTTATCCAAGAAAAACTTGCAGTTACAGTGTGTACTGAAATGTTATATAATCAAGGCATGAGAAGTATTTTAAGATTTTTTTTTTTTAATTTTTAAAACCCAGAAGTTCTCAAGTAATAAATAACACAACATAATTATCTACTATCTATCAACTTCAAAACTGATTATATATGACTTAAAACAGCGACTCCAAACGTTTTAGCACTGGTGTATATATGCACAGTTTTCACTGAACTCTGAAAACTTATCTTAAAACAATGACAAATGGCATTTGGCTAATGACAGGACTATGAAGCTGAACTGATCAGGGTGATTGTTATCTGAACGGGCACTCTGTGCTCACCTGGCCTGGCTGGATGTGAGGGGGTTTTGTGGAGGGGGTGCAGGGCCACTCTCAGGGGGTTTGCGGCCGACTGTAGGTGGAGGCGGACCCATACCAGGCCCTGCAGACTGGGGCATGTTTGGAGACGTGGGGGCTACGCTGCTGGGGCCTGCTGGGTATGGACGGCCGCTCGCAGGCTGACCTGGGCCTCTTCCAGCCGGCATGGAGCCGCAGGGCTGCCCGGGGCCCTGCCCATGCATAGGGCTGCTAGCATTCATCCCCAGGCTCATGCCTGGCCCGGGTCCACTGTAGCTGGGGCCAGGGGCTCCGCCATAGTTGGGTGGACGGGGGTAGTTACCTGGAAATACACAAGAACAGAAGAACTTTTTATAAACTCACATTAACTTTGTTCAATAGTGCATTGTTAAAAAATGAAAACTTTCCAAGAACAGTTACGTACAAAATGTGAAGAGGAGATAACTGAAGAACACTGAGACCCTACAGCAGCAGTTGGGCTAAAAAATCTCATTTGTGTAACTTTCTCTTCAACACAAACATAGTCAATCTACGAAGACACGTTTTGTGTCTGAAGTTGCTTCTTTTGTGCTGAAGCTACAAGCCTAATGTAGCTAACAAGTAATGGAACTTGGTAGTGTAACTTGCCTCTAGAATAAACTTGCTTATGTGGTTTTGGATATTAAATAACTTACTGTTATCCTGAAAAATTAACTTATACAGTACCACACAAATATTTTAAACCCCTGAATAAATTGTATTTGAAAAGTTTTTTTTAATTGGGTAGTCAGCATTTATTTGCTCTGAAAAACACTAATATTAAAATAAATACAAATAATATTAATAAAAAAGTGTGTGATTTACGTATGTCATCGTGATTCCAAACCGGTCTTTGTGGCATCCTGGCATTAATGGTAGTTATTATTCAGTTCTAGGTTTCACTAATCAATGATTCATGAAATTATATGAGGAATGATGCTGATATATTTGAACGAATCTCTGCAAATCTATTCTTGTTACTTTTCACTGCATTAATCTTTGTTTTATTTATTCTAAAGTTACATAGTGTTTTTCTGAGCAACACACACACACACACACACGTAAAAAACCAAGGTGCATCCAACAAGAAAGGAAGCCTTGTATATTTTATTTTATATAGTGATATGAAACATGTTAGTAAATGGAAAGCTCTGGTTCTATGAGCTGAACGTGATAAAATGAAGAACGGAGAGTTACACAAGTGGCTTTCCCTTTTTTTTTGTTTGGGGTTGGGGGGTAGGGGTGTTAAAAAGTTTGCTTCAATGCTTAAGACTTTTAAAGAATACTGCATATCAGGCTTGATATTGGCTGCTACTACTGTAGCTAACATGCCTAGCTAACAGAGTAAACTGCTTCCATTACTTGTTAGTTACATTTAGCCTTATATTTCCAGCTCAAAACTGAAGAGGCAAACTTGTCTTAGTTGACGACTGCATTTGATTTTTTTGTCAAACTGTTCCCATTATAAGTCACGATTCAGGAAATCAGAGCTCTACTCATAAAGGTGCCGGGTTCTTTTTGAGCACTTCATTCCTCCGTCCCCCGCTCAGGAGCAAATATCTAGATTTGCCGAGTTCCACGGGAGAGCTGCTGAAGCCGGGAGCAGAGACAGGTACTTCGTCAGCAAGTTTCTATGGCGCTAAATGGATATTCCACATGATGACTGTGGGGCCGAAACTCCAGCGGATCAACACAGAGCCAGGTTCTTAATGAGGTGTGCCTGTTCCCCAAGAGCTACGGAGGGAGACATGACTCCAACCTGCAAGACTGCGCTGAGCCCAGAATGGTTCCTTCAGTGTACTAAAGCCTGTATTTGTGCTAAAATTGTATGCATATTATTATAATGCACAAGACTTTGCCAAGCGGCGTTTCAGGCACAATTAGAACAGGGATTTCCACTCAGGCTGCAGCTGTCAAAATGCAGCCAGAAATCTCCACCTCGCCAAGCTGCCTGAGGTTTCTCACAGGTCTCGCAGGAAATCACAGGCTTTGGCATCTGTTCCTGTTCCCTCGACATGAAGGGGGGAGAAAGGGGGAAAAAAAACAAACTAATTTTTGATGTCATACATGAGTTCCAAAAATATATGAAGCAGGTCGAGGAGATGGTTGGGGAAAGTTGCTGTTTTGCTATTTTTTTTTTTCCACAGTGCTGCACTTATTCTGAGCGCTAACACCTAACAAGCTGGCGTTTTACCCTTCCAGAGCGAGGTAGGGCCCTGGAACACTGCCAATTACACAGAAAAGCTCTGGTACTGTCAGCCGCCCTGCTCCGCCTCTCTGAGTCCCCGTAATCCCAGAATTCCCAGGGGGCACGAGAGGGCACGGTGCCATTGATCTGAGAGACAGGACAGCTGTCTTGCCTTCAATTCCCAGAGCCACTGAGAGATAACCTCTGGATCTGCATTAGGGATGTATAATACATTATTCCTTAATCATTTCCAGCTTTTGCAATACTGATATACAGTGGTCTTTAAAAGTATTTGGACACTTTAACTACTGGCACTTTAATGCAGACCTTTACCTAATTAAATGTTTAACAAAATGATATTTAAGAGAAAACACACACTACATCAACTGATGGTAGACTCTATGTGGAGAAAGCCTGGAGAAGAACTCCAGTCAGACTGCACTAAGGCTACTGCAAAGCACAGAGGTGAAAAAGTCTGTGGTTGATTATATTTATTTTATTTATTTATTTATTTTTACAATAGTGTTGGTGAGCTTGTGTTCATTGATGAGATCACAAACTCAGAGGTGTACGAAAAAATTCTACATGCAAATCTGCAGAAGTCTGAAAAGACAGTCTAAAACAAACCAGACTCTTTTTGAAAGAATATTTTACCAAAAAGCAAATGACAGAACTGGAATGGTCTTTTTAAAATAAACAGCATTTGGTTTGTCATTTTATTTCATAACACCATGAACCATATTCCTTTTTTAAAATTAACGTGAAAAAAAACTCATACTGCATTTACTTTCCGTATCGTGACATTTCTGAGTAAAACAGGGTATCTGAGTTAGCTGAGGATTTTTCTCAGTGATATTACTGGTTAATGTCCCCTGGTACATGGGGAGACAAAAAAAAATCAAAAAGTCATTATATTTCGCAAAAGTCATTTTGATTGAAGATTAAGGCAAACAAGATTTATAAAGATTTAAAATTTTACATTTTAAATTAGGCAATAAATTGTGCTTAAAATAACCAGGGATATGAACCAACAAGATGAAAAGAGGTCAGTTCTAATTACAGAACTGATATGGCACAAATGTCCAAACACTTCTTGAGCCACTGCAGTATGCAAATGAGCCTCCATCCAATCACTAAATATTTTACTGCCAAATGACCAATCACAGATGTTCTACAGTTGTTTGGATGAACTGAAACCTTCAGGTGATCTAACAAACATTTTTTGGTAGCAACCAAATTACTTCAATACTACAGAGTAGCAAAAAAAATTCTGTCTCACACACTGAAAGAGTACTCGAGGAGAATTCAGCAAAACTTTGTTTAAGGACGTGCCTTACGAAGCTGTAAGTCTTTTTGGTATCTTTGTTCGTATTTAAGACCACATCGAGCCAGACCATCCTTTTATGCCTGTCTTTGGGATGTCAATATGCAAAGATGTATGATGTGGCCTGAAAAACTCCTGAATCAACGCCTCTAACTTTTAAATGATTATTTTCATGCACACCATATTTACTCAGTAATGCTACTTCTTTCAGTTTTAACACAAGCTCTTACATAGTGCAGCTTTAATGTCGGCTCTTCTTACATTCTGTGTTGTGCTCTGTAATTACTCTGCAATTGCTTGCAAACATAGCTTTTAACTCTGTATTTTTTGTATTTAAAACAAGGTATTGAAAAATAGCGTTTGCAAATCTGTATCGAAGTCGAGATATCAGTGTTGGTTTCAAAAAATCGTGAATGATACACAGCCCTGTTCATATTGTGTTGTTCTATCCAGAATACTGAACAAGGGCCATAATTCACCCTCTAAACAGCCATTGTTGGAAAGATAATTAGGGAACATTTTGAATTTTGGTAAATTTTTTGACGGCTTTTTCTGTTTTTCGAATATAGCAATACAAAAAATGTGTAATTTCCACAGGCTGCAAATGTGACTTATCTCAGGCTGCACCGCGAGTTCTGCATCTGTTTCATCTGGAGCAATAAGCTTCGCTACAGAGAGCTGAACAGCAGGGCTTGTGTGGATCTGGAGTCGATGTTTCCATGAACTTTGAATCGTTTCTCAAGCTGTAGTAAGAGCCAAACAAAAGCAGGCACTGATGCCAAATACAATAAGCCTGGCAGTCTGCTTCTCCACAGGCCTTCCCTCCTTGGTGCAAAGTTTTGACCGAAAAAGGGAAATTCTGTGCATGTTAAAAACGCATGTTCTCCTAAGGTAGCCTATGGAAGCAAAAGAGGTCATTTTTATTCTTTTCACGGACAAGTAATTATCCAATCATCCCCTGTCGACTTCTCCACTCTCACTTAGCTCTGCAAATCTATCACTGTCAGGTGTACAACAGCCATAATTCTGTCGTCTTCAGCCGGCTGCCAGTTATACAAGTGAAGCTACAGGACAACAGGGACTATCAATCAGAACTGAAAAGGAGGCAGGACCTAGTGAGATTATGATGGCAACACACAACGGTTGTTCATTTATTATACAGGCAATGCCATAACATTCATGATAGATTACTGCCGAGTTCCTTTCAGAGGCCACTTCCACATATACACGCAGGCACGCAGTCAGCTGAAACAACAGAGGAAATTAAAACAAATGATTCTGTAAGCTATGCTTTTGTTCATAGATTCATGCTTAAAGGTCAGCCTAACAAAGCAGACAAAATTCAGAAAACAAAAAGAGGCAAAGCCGAAGCATGACCAGAGAATGTAATAACATACTACACTGGCAGTACTGAGGGTCTACTGTGCGTGCGTGAGAGCCAACTACTTCAATTTAAAAATATATATATATATTATGCATGTTTAAATGATTTGAAAAACGCCTGTTAATGTTAATATGCTGATGTTACATAATCAGAGGCAATGAGGCTTCTGTCGTTTTGTTGCATCATAGGAATAAATTGTTTGAGGTATACAAAGAACTCTAAACAATGGCAGTGGCAAAGGGGGACAAACTCAAGAAATCATATGCAAAGCAAAGCTGGGGGTTCATTTTGAATGCGCTGTTGCAGACCGAGGTGTTGTTTTCATACTGTTTTCAATGGTAGAGACAAGTTTTGCCCTACTGAAACCAACGTTCAGTTTGCTAAGGCAGTAGCTAATCTGTGCATAAGCCCCAGTACTAAAGGCACATGCTTGGGAGGTGCTGGGTTTAGCAGGTGCAGCTAAATGGTGGAGCTATCAATGAGTTTGGGACAAAAGAGAAAATGAAAGTTCAGTGACATAGCGGAGTAAAGAAATGTTTTTTTTCCTACCAAAAATAAAAAAAACAGGATTTTAACTAGCAAGACAGAATCTGGCTAGCAGTAATATGGATTGTGAGTGCTTATGCCACATCAAATCACATTTTGCACTGAGCTTCTCAAATCTGTACATCTGGCCCCAAGAGTTGTGATAATGTGATACTGTCTGTAAGTATTTTTTCAGTGCATGTTCAAGGCCTGTGGCTCTGATGTTAATTGAAGTCCCCCAGCAAAAAACGTCTGAGACACTACCACTAATTTATACCTGATTTTAAGCAGTGAATTAAATTCCAAGCAAAAAACTGTCTGGGCAACTAGCAGATTGTACTTTATGTAATATGTTGTCTTGCCTGTTTTCCGCACACATGGTGCAAAAGCTGTTAGTTTAGGCTTGTATGCCAGTCTTATACAAAACAAGCAGGCAGAATGTATCCTGTTTGTACCTGAAACTGGTCAACAATCTGCTCCCGAAAGAAGTAATGACGTATATTTACCCGAAGGACCGTACTGTCCACCTTGTGGTCCGAAGGTGGTGCTGACCTGCTGGTAGGAGCCCATGCTGTGGTGCAGAGAGCCCCCAGGGGAGGGGTGAGGGGACATAGGGGCCCCAGACTGCTGTGGGACAAACTGAGGGCCAGGGCCACTACGCTGCAGGTTAGGGGCGAATCCTAAACGAAAGCAATCACAAGGCAGCAATGAGTTGGTCAGGTATAAGAGAGAAAATAGTCACTATTGTAACAAACCCTTGCATTACATCTCCAAAGAGGAAACATTGTGATATGAATGCAATGTAAAAGATAGCATGTAGGCAGTATTAAAAGAAACCCAAAGCTAAAAGCCTAAAATTTAATCGGTAACTCTGGCCCTGATGTCTTTTGCACCCATTGCAGGTACAATTCAGACTCTCCAGTCTTTCCAAACAAGCCTAAATGCGTAGTTCACGGACCGTGTTTGGAAGAACCACACAAAATACGGGGCGGGGGGGGTAGGTAGGTCTGTAGCCTGCTTGCTAAGCTAACATTAGTTAGCCCATCAAGTAACAGATCCAACACCACGGAACAGGTTTAATTTCACCTTTCTGTCCCTCCAATGCCAAGTGCTCGACTTCACTCCCTCAGATTTGAATAATTATCATCTAAACTTGTGTTGTTGCTTTAGTTAGTTAGAATCAAACATGTTCTGTGCTGAGTTGAGCTGTCATCATGCTAATCTCCATGCTAAGCTCCTCTCTCCTAGTTAGCAGCTCTGTTTACCCTGGGTTATGCTGTATAGCATGGTAATATTTGGAGACAGTTTGAAGGTACAAAACAAGTGGATACTGCCCAACACTAGTTGGTACTAGTATTACTAGTAGGAAACAGGTATTAAATTTGTTGCCTCATTTAACCACACACCGCTTGCTAAGAGTTGCTGTGAGTATGTGTGTCTCTTTTGTTTTGTTTTTTGTTTTAATTGCCCAGAAAATTGATGCTGGAGAAAGACAGAATGTCTACGTCATGCTCAATACAGACCAGTCATTAACTGCTCAGAGTGTGGAAGATTGGCTGGGGCTCTTAACAAGACTGTGGCAAAAGAGGAAACTTGGGAGAGCTCTCCAAGACCGGAGAACTCATCCAGATCTAGGGCTGTTACTGTCAATTAAAATATGTATAATATATATATAATTCTAATCAAGCAGAGATTATTTTGACAATTAATCAAGTAATCAGTTTTCAAGAAGGCCAAACAATAAAAATGGTATTAGCTGAACAAAAAGAAACAACATATAGCTTTTAAAAAATTCCATAAAAAATACCATAAATTAAAAAGCCTTCAAACACACAGAAACACACAACCCCGTTTTCAAAAAAGTTTGGGAGCTGTGTAAAATGTACAAATCATTTAAACCTTCTATTTAATTGAAAACAGTACAAAGACAACATATTAAAATTCAAAACTGAAAAATGTTACTGCTTTTTGAAAAAATAAATGCCAGTTTATGCCAGCAAAGTTGGGAACTTGGGGATTTCCACGGTACATAATATCATTAAAAGATTCAGAGAATCCAGAGAAATCTCTGTATGCAATAACACAATTCTGTACTGGAAATCATTGCATGGGCTCAGTAACACTTCCAAAAACCAATTGTCTGTAAACACAGTTCATTGCTGTCTCCACAAATGCAAGTTAAAACTCTACCATGCAAAAAGAAACTGTACATTAAAAGGATCCAGAAACACTGCTGCCTTCTCTGGGCCCGAGCTCATTTAAGATAGACTGAGTCAAAGTGGAAAAGTGTCTTGTGGTCCAACAAATGAAAATTTGTCCATTTTTTTTGGAAATCATGGATGTCACGTACTCCGGGCTGAAGACGATCCAGCTTGTTATCAGCGCACAGTTTTAAAGCCAGCATCCATGATGGTATGGGCTGCATTAGTGCACAAGGCATTGGTGACTCGCACATTTGTGAAGGCACCATAAATGCTGGACCAAATATACAGGTTTTGGCAACACATTCTACCATCCAGATCACATCAGGGAAGGTCTTTCTTATTTCAGCAAGACAAAGTCAAATCACATTTTGCATGTATTACAACAGTGTGACTCTATAGTAAGAGTAAGTAAGTTAGAAGTTAGCTTAATGGACCAGCCTGCAATCCAGATCTGTCACCCATTAAAAATATTTGGTACATTATGATACAAAAAATATGACAAAGGAGACCCTGAACTGTTGAGCAGCTGAAATCCTATATCAAGCAAAAAAGGGAAACCATTTCAGTTTCAAAACTACAGCAACTGGTCTCCTCAGTTTCTAAACACTTACAGAATGTTATTAGGAGGTGATGCGACACAGTGGTAAACATGCTCCTGTCCCAACTTTTTGGAATGTGTTGCTGGCATCAAATTCAAAATAGGCATACATCAAAAACAACAAAATTTCTCAGTTTCAATATTTGATGTGTTGTCTTTGTACTATTCTAATTAAATATAGGGTTTACTTATGATTTATATATCAATGCATTTTTTTTATTCACAATTTGAACAGCCTCCCAACTTTTTGGAAACAGGGCTATATATTTACGGCTGCAGTTCGAGAGGGTTACAATCCCAGAGAAGCTAGAACAGCAACATACGTCAGCGATGAAAAATGGAAACTGTGTTCACTCATTTTCATGTATATAACATATATAGAACAAAACATACTGATTAATAAATGATTTTTAAACATAAATCTCTCTTTAGAGTCTAATATATGCTAATACAACAAATATGATTAATCAGCATTAATTGTTAATCATTTAATTGCTGGACAGCCCTAATTTAAATACATAAAAACACTACACCAAAGAATGCATATAGAAGAGCGTACATCAGGCTCTGTTTCTTACAGTAGTACAATTTAAAATAGGCATCTTAATCATGCAAACTGCCAACTAGTCACTTCCCTTTCATGAAGGCCATTTTAATTTTTTAAATCAAGTAGAGTTTAACTGATTAATCATGACAATCCTAATGGCAATGCAATCCTTTTTGTACATTCTACAGTGCTAGTCAATTTGTCCCTGAATCAATAAACCAAACTAAGGCTGGCGTTTTTGTCTGAGCTTGCAGTCTATATGCTAAAACTTTCCACACTAAACTTCAGCACAAATGGTTCTCAGACCACTGGCCACAGAAAACGTGAAAACGTGGTGTCACGAGTCAAGGCAATGGAAAAGCCACGCTCCCAGACAGTCTGTCAAAGCCACAGTGGCCTGCAGTTAGGAGCAGCGTATTGCAGCAGAACGGAGCTATAACAGGTGCTAATATGTCACACAAATGAGTCCATTTATCTGAAGTGCCACTGGAAAATGCCGGGGAGAGATGGAGCAGCGGAGCAGAGGTATATTAGACACATAGCGGGACAGATGAGAAATACACACAACTGACCATTACGAGGACCGTTACAGCAGCTAATAGAAGTGTATGTGCGTGTCTGTGTGATTCTCACCTCTCTCCTGAGACATGGGTGACTGACTAAGGGTAGAATGGGAGCCCACCTCTGAAACATTCACAGTGGTCTGTGGGGCCATCTGTGTACCTAAACAACACACACATACATTTTATACAATGTCTCATACGTCTAATACATCTATCTGTCTATCTATCTATCTATCTATCTATATGTCTGTCTATCTATCTATCTACCTACCAACCTATGCATATATGCACATAGAGACCTCAACAGCACTGAATGGGTTTGGGATTACTTGGACTCTAAGAAACAGAAAATGCAACCAACTTCTAAGGCTGAACTTTGGAGATGTGGAAAAATATCCCTGAATATTTCTTTGAAAAACTTGCGCAAAAAGCAAGTCTCCTAAAAAAAAAAACAGAAGCTGCAATAAAATGCGTGAATATGCTAAATACTGAGAATTTGAATATGATATTCAGTTGTTGAAATTTCTGTGAAGTTTTTAATAAATGAATGTTTTTTTCCCGATGCAAAAAAGTAAGCAGTATATACTGAATTGCTGTTTAAACTGGAGTTGGCATACATGAAGGGTGGTGACTAACAGCACTGTACCTATTTGTAATAGGGATTTTCTAAGCCTGATCCTAACGTAATCTCAGTAAGCAAAAATAAATGGTATTGATTTTTCAGTAAAAAATTAAGCACAGACCTTTGGTAAAATCAGTGTACAAAGTCAGCACCATTTGTGTACAAAAACAAAACATACCCAACAAAAAAGTAAAGTGTTAGAAATATTAGCCCAAATCTCTAGCAAATCCAACCCAGCCCGCCTATAAAAGGTGTATGTGTGTCCAGTATGAAGCTAATGGTGGATGTTTCTCTCAGCAGGGGTGACGTATCAGTGTGTGCAGGCGAGTAAATGGTCTCCTGCGGACCTCGTTAGTGACATCTAGAGCGGCGAGAGCATGGACCGGATTCTGCAGCTTCAGCTGCTCAAAGGCCTCTGCTGCCCGCCTATCAAACAACTCTGGCTAACTATGCCCCACACTGTGGGAGAGTAATTGTGTTAAAGTGACTCCAAACTGTTAACAGAGTTTCCAAACTATTTTAATGACTGGGTGTCTTGTTTGCAGTAAGCTGAAGTCCTTTCTCTGACCCAGGTTTGTTGGAAAGCACAAACAAGATTTTTCCTCCTTTTGGCCTTACCGGCAGTGGAAATGTGAGGACAGTGAGGCGAGGGCTGGCAGTAACAACTACTTATGATGGTGTCTCTATAACAGACATATCCAATGTTCATGTATGAAGAGGTGACTAAGGCAGTTTAGGAGTAAATAAAATGAGATGCAACCATTTGCAGGTTCAGAAAGGACATTTCAGGGCACGATGCGGCACTGATGTCTTGTGTTGGCATAACACGGGGTCTTGTCTCTCACGGATTAAGCTTATTTTCACCATCAGAAATCCCATTTAGTTTTGGCTGAGGCATTTTCTGCATTTGGAAAACCCAAATGTGCCATAATTGTAACTTGGATCAGGGCTGTCCAAAGTGTGGCCAGTGACAGTGTTTAATTTAGCCCACCAGGAAGTTTACCTAACCCCACTTCCTCACCCACTGAGAGAATAAACGCATTTTTAATTACAAATTCATTTACTATTAATTCCTATTCTCTATTTTAATTTGCATTTTTTTTTTATTTTTCTTTAATTTTCTTATTTTCCCCTTTATATTCTTATTTTTGAAGCATTTAGTTTATACACTGGTCCTTTTAGCCTTCAGCCCACCACTGCACCAAAGTTAGATAAACTTCTACTTAACATATCTGAGTCATCCTTATCTTCCATATTCATTTAGGTTTATTTAAGGTTATGCAATTTACAAGATTAATCAATAATTAAGTTAGCTGCATTAGCTTAACTAGCTAGCTAATAGCTTTAGCTACAAACATGTGGTCCAAGTAACACTAACTTAAACCACTAGAGGGTGCAAACCTGAACCTCCAGAATACCCTGAGAATTGAACCCGTTTATGCAGGCAGAAAAATCAGTTTGAAATCTCTGACAGTCAAGAGGAAGAGAAAGAGGCAAGAGGGTGACATCATGCCATTCGACATTCATGTGTATCGAAAGAGGAAGTTCAACATTGCAGAAGTTCAAAAGCACCCTGGCACTAAATAGAGAAATGAGGGATTTTTTTCTCACTTGGTACACTAGCAGGTGATATGGGCCCGGATCGTGATTGGCTGGAGCCGACAGGCGAGCCGACCGGAGAAGGTGAGGGTCCACTGCGCAGGCTGGAGAGGCGGGGTGAGGCGTGAGGGGAGAAAGGTGACTGGGCGGGGTTACTCTGATCACCCTGGCTGCTGGTAGAGCCTGAGGCACTGACTGCTGAGCTGAGGGCCGCCTCCGTGCCTGTGGGGAGGTCATCTATGGAGCCAGACAGGTCCTGCCAAACACATAGACAAACACATGTTTGGTGTTATAAAGGGTCATATATATATATATATATATATATAAGATATATACATATATATACACACACACACACACACACACACACATATACACATATATTGTTGCTTCTATTTTTTTGATGCAATATCTATGTAAACATAATACATATATGTACACATACGTGTCTCTAAGTAATACATCTTATATGCATTATAAATACGCCTAAAAATGCCTAATTATAAACATAACATTAACTTAAAATAACTAAACAAAAATAAATTGTTCTTCCAAAAAAAAAAAAAAATAATCTTTTTGCAAAAACAGTTTTTGTAAAAAGACCACGATAATAAATTCTGTGTTTCTACATTTAGGACATATTCACAAAGACCAGGAAGACCCAGAATGACAATGCCGCTTTAGCGAACACACTTGCTTCAAACTTCATCCACTTGCAGACTGCAAGGGAACAAAATCCGAACAATCTGTTGATGGATCTTTAACATTGAATCTTGACAGCTGGACAACTCGCCTAAGATCCGTCAGGTTTGTCTCAATTAGATAATGCCCCCTGGTCAAGTGAAAAGCACTTTCTGCTCACCAGCTAGACTGAAGCTTCTTCCATGCCTGCGGTTAATCTGAGCAGCAGGATAGCAATTGTGAAACAGTTTACCTGTAGAGATTTAAAACAGCCTAAAACAACCTAAGACACTCAAGAGAAACACCGGCAGGAATGCCATGCACCCTCCTCAGAGGTGCTGCCTCAATCAGAGCCTGTGCCAGTCTAGATCTTTTTTGTAGGCCTCATTCCGAGGTCTTTGCCCCATGGGTATTCTGACCGTATCCAAGAGCGCACGACTGCCAGGGGTAAATTAAATCTAGTCTCCAAATAACCTGCAACAACTGAGGCCACAGCTGTTAGTGGGTCACAAATGGAGAGGCGATGGCATCTACTGCTAACATAGCGGCTTTCTGAATGGCCTTTTTTAAAGCCGCGTGTCATCCACCTTAAGTCTTAGTCTCTCTACTATTTCACCAATACAATCTGCAATTCTTATTATTTAAAGAGGCAATATCTTACATTTATCTTGTATTTTTAAATTTTCCCTGAGGTGAACTTTTGATGTTTGTGTGGTTTTATATACCAAAAAGTCACGTTTTTACATGACGATTTTCCAACCTCTCTTTATTCTTTATCTTTATATTTGCAGCTTTGTTTCCATATATGGAGATGAACTGGATGGTGAAGGTTTTGAAACTTTAACATTTACAAACTACAAATATCCACCACTAAATACACAACAGCTACTTTTCACTAGACTTGAGCGATATTTAATATGAGCATGATATTTTCTTGTTAAACAAACATTTTCCACTGCAACTTAGACCGGCTTTACACATTATCTCTCGATTCTATCTTTAGTATATATGCTTTCCTGCCATTAACTGATATTATTATTAACTATTAAATAATAAGTATGGTAATAAACTTTCTCTCATTTCAATTTGAAAGCTAAACTATTAATACATGAATTCAGCTCCTGCTTGTGTGGGTTTGTGACTGTTTCTTCCCTTTAAAAGGCGCACAAAAAAGGCCCACTCAGACTACTGAATGGGCAAAAGAGTATTCTTATTAAAGTACAGTTTTTCATTAATATTTCCTTTTCAAAGCAACATCCAACTAGCTTTTGGTAATTCTCTGTTTTGGCTCCAACACTGTAGAACATCTACCCCTTTCCATTAGGAACTTTCATTCTTCAAATATTTTTAATTCCTGCCTAATAATCCATTTTTTTTCCCTTGGCATTTACGTCTGTGTAAGGTCTATAATCTCTCAAAGATATTTCAGTAAGATGGACTAAGCTGCTGATTAATGCTGTGACATTCTAGACGGATATGTTTTGTGGCTGATTTCGCTCATTTCTTTCAATAGGAGCTTTTTTGACTAAATTCTAGATCGGATTATACTGTTTGTGTAGTTCTCACCTTGATGTTTGTTGATAGTGTTTTAGATATTGCTCACTGTTTTAATATTGTAATTGTTTTAAATGTGACAAAAAATAAATCGGACTTCGCTATTGAGGGATGCTTGTTAATTCAATGTAATACACAGTATATATAACGTTTCTATTATTCTGGTCACAAATTCTTAATTTTGGCCAAAAGATTCATTGGCTTGGTGACCAGAGCAGTCAGTACAATTTTTGTCTACTAAAATCTGTCTGTTTACACGACATAAGTCCTTTAGAAATGGGTTTCTGCGGTTAATTGGAGTTTAAAAAATACGACAACAGAGAGCTGCCTGTTATTTTGAACAATTTACAGTTCATAATCAGTCAGTAATGCACTGTGTAAAACTACTAAAGTCTTTAATTTAATCATATGAATATTTATCAGCCAGTACTATTGGCTACTGGAATTTTTAGCTTCTTATATTCAGTGTCAGTAACAAAACTTTCAGATAGGTTAGGCTCTGCTGTCTAACATTACCAATACACACACTCTATGAATCAATAACACATGTATATAACGTACCAGCACCAGTCAGCCTGCTTTATGCAGCATAAACACAAAATCTGCTTATAAAATTCCCCCTAGCTGAATACACCAAATCACGGGGCTATTCCTAGAGACTGCATGAGCGTTTTTTCCGCATACAAAGGAAAAAGGCTGGGTGCTTTTTTTCCCAGCAGTGTGGCTGTTCCAGCACTAGTGGTGAGGCATATGGTGCTGTGTGAGCGAACAGTATGGAAACCTCAGAGTGTCTTCAGGGGGGATGACTTCACTCTTCACTCTCACTCTCTCTTTCAGCCTGCTGACTAAAATAAAGAACCTGATGCTGACCTACTTATGGAAGGAGGAGTGGAGCTGGGGCACATGAGCTTGGCTTTAGGACCCACCGCAAAGCATTACTGCTAAAGGTCAAAGACGAGGACACTTCAGTCCCTACTAATTTCACTGGTAATTTTCTGGTAAAGACAAATTTCCACAGTACTCAACTTGCTTGGTAATTCCCTTATCGTCTGTATGCGTTTTCCTTATGAGTCATGGGACAGTCTGATTTGAGTGTGGCTCAGTCCCTGGACAAAGCAGGAATATCTGACTTTCACAGTGTCCTGAGAGAACATCCTAGTATTTAACCTTATCCTGGGGTGGAGCTCTACGGTCAAACAGCCTATCTGGTGAACAGCAGCTAAAATAAAAACACTCTAGAACAGGCTACGTTGTGAAGCGTTGTAAATAGCAAAAGGCGGCTAACCATGGCTAACAATGAACTGAAGCCAGAGGGGATGTCACGATCCAAGCCGAGCACTTTATCAGCCAATACTAATCCAATCTTGTTTTCATTGATAATGCAGACACACTTGTGGCTCAATTCACTCATTTCTTTCAACATTAGATTTTTTTAACTTAATTCTAGACTGGATTATACTACCTTTGTCACTTGTTAAGCAGAGACTAGAATACTATCATTATAATAGTATTAAAAAACACATTGTCAATTCCATTTTCCTGCATTTTGGGATTTTTACTTCTACACACTTCAGGGATTAATTAAGGTCTTGTTCTTTGCTCAGGAAAGCCCAAATTAGGCACTTCGAAATGGTTTATTTGCCATGCATTACATTATGACCTGTATTAGTATATATACAAGTATAGTATATACTTGTATATATACTATAAATATATAGTATATATAAACAGAAGTGTGTTATGTAAAAATCATCAAAATGTATTTGTTGTAATAGTGTACAGTAAAGAGTTTGAACCTTATTATGCAAATTAATAAGCATGAATTACAAACTAAATTCACATTTGTTTCTATTGTATAACTTGCAGATTTGATTTCTACAGGTTCTAGGTAAAGTCTACCACTTTAATGTAGTTTATTGCTTAAGTGCCAATAAAAAGATGTGTTCCATATTCTGAAGTGGTTTCAATATTTTTGGCAACCAAATCACTAAATTTGTGATGCAAATTGACTTAAATCTTGATTAGCACTATTTAGCATTAAACTATACTTTACAATTTGGAACACATTCTGAAGTATTAGTGAGTTAAACCTTTATTAGGTCTAAAGCAATAAACTCCAGAAGTCATTTGGTTTGATGAAATGCTGCCAATTATACACTAATAAGATGTGAATTTAAGTGAAAATTCATGCTCAATAATATGCATAACAAGGCCTTAATGAAGTGTTTACTGCACATTTTTACTACTAATAATGCAATTACTAGTGATTTTCACACAACGGATATCTAATTATGTACAAAAGCAGGTCATAATGAATAAATCTTATTGCATAGTAAATATTCGGGCTTTACTAAATAAAAACCTTAATAAACCCCCAATACGTTTAAAATAAAGTGATAAAATTGTACTGAATATTTAGTTTTCTCTTTTGAATAATATTTCAAACAATCCCGTAAAAAGCTGTCTTTTAATCACTAACATATCAAAAATGATAAGAGCAAGCGCTAACTAGAGTCTCCTCTCCGTGTTCCTCAGTCTTTCATATTGAAAGCATTAGGCAAACCACTTATACCTTGCACACATTAGCGAAGACTTTTTTTTTTTTGGCTTGCATGATTTATGTTCATAATTATTCAGATTCGTTAAGGCTCTGGGTTCCTTAATTGATGAACATAATTATTCAGCCTCATTGGCCATTCAAGCTCTCTCTGCATCCTTCAACTTGAAGGAAAGAAGGATTGGGGGGGCTGAAGTGAAGGATAAATAAATGAATGCAGACTGTCTCTCTCTGGGCTGCTCCTCCAGCATAACCTCTTCTCTCTTTCCTTCGCTCCGCAACTCTCTAGTTCTGTCGATCTTGAGGGCGAGGAACCCCCACACTCATCCTTCATCATCCTCCCATCGTTCCACATGCCAGCCGCCCGAGTCCGTCTCTTCGGCGCCCTCCACAGCCAATTAAAACTCGGAGGAATAATCAGGGCTAATTGGGGAGCCAGGCGTGGCAGTGCGTTCAGCTCCAAT